GGTTGACTAATGGTATCGAATTTAACTCCTAAACGCCACCTAGTTTACTTGCCCGGAAAAGAAGGAAGGTTAGACGTGAGACTTGCAACACCATCTGATAAAATCAACACCAGTGCTACTGTAAATTCAAGGGTTGGAACCCAACGTTCCCGTAGAAATGCAAGAAATGAGAAAAGAGTTTTTTAGATGAATTAGCAGAAAATTTAGCTTCATTTTGGTTTTACTCATGACAGCACTCATCAGTAAAGTGTTTATGAAAACTTGAAGATGTTACGTTAGGCATATCTAAGAACTGTAAGTTTTCATTACTTTAATGAAACAGACACCTAGAACTTTACTTCTGTACTAACCGGCATCTGGAAACTAATCCGTTTAAATCACATAGTTTTAATAAATTTAGTAATTGAGTGTCTGAACTCGGCGAATGAGTGACACAAGCAGTAATCCATCTTACAGTCGAATGCCAACAAGCATGAAAACTAAGTCAAAACCGAACTTTTTAGTATGATTGTTATATTACGACACTCATCAGGCTTTTCCAAGATTTCGTCCAAAAGAAGCTTCTGTTTACCTTGCTGTACAATACATGTAAAGCAAAATATATTTTCGCTCATACAGGTCATGTCATTATTCTCATCTGCCATTAGAAGAACAAACATTTTTTGTTGATTTAACTTTAACTGTATTCTGTTTAACGAACAGTCAACCAAGTGATAGTTCAGTAATAATAATATTAATCCTTAAGTGAATGACAGCCAGGATTACTAAAAAGATAATTAGTGGTATTATTATTATCATTATTACTGATGCTTTAGAAAACACGTTGATCACTTTTACGACTTATGAAATAGTCTTCAAAAGTCAACAAATTTCATATGCGTCTTCCTACTGACTATCTTCTCTTACTTAGTCTTAAATAATAGTGAACAATACTATCATATCACTGAACTTAATGATCAAATTGTACATTTAATTTACTACCCATAAACAGACGGTAGATTGAAACACATAAATCTAAGATCTTCAAATATTGCAGAGAAATTGTGAATAATTATAGTGTCAATCAACCCATATATTAGACTAAAACGCCCTGCAAGGAAGACGTTTCCCGCAATAGACTGGATTTAGGAGAAGTAAGTCATATACAGAAGAAATTGCAATACCACGCATCATTATGGGATAAAGTTTAAAATGGCAGTGAACTCCGTACTTCAAATTTACTGACTCTGAAAAAATTTATGACAGCGTTGACTGCAAAAGTAATTTATCAACTGCTTCAACAATAGTGAGTGCAGGACGGCAAACATTTATAAATCTCATTTAAGAAGTTGGTGATAACGCATTCCAGCTAATTAATTCACATCGGAAAGTTTGCTGAAGTATTTCGACTGAAGGCGGGGGTAAGACAAAACTGCTTATTATCGTAAATGATCTTCCTGATTTTGGTAGATTGGACCATGCAGTGGACCGTGGGGAGCGAGAAGATAAGCATACGGGTGCTCTGTGTTCAGAAGAAACATGTCCACCCACTATGACTGCCGTGGCCTGCTAGGGAGTCTGAAAATTCATAAATACTTATTACATGACATGACCCTCCATTCCCCTACCCTTTGTCATTACACTTGCATTAACTAACTTTTTGTTTTCTTATTTAACCGTAGCGTTTAACTTACACACTGACACACATACAACGCGCACCCTTTTTCTCTACCCCTGTCCTTGACATGATCACCCATCCATCTGAAGTTTATAATCAATATGAATAGAAATTAATATGAACACGAGTCATGAGAATTTATGACTATACATTCATTGTCATTCATAATCACCTTACTTGGTAATATTAGTGTTCAATTTAGTACTACAATTATACATATTACCACATACTCATATATTTTGGACTTTAATCTATTAAAAATCTAATCGCGAATAATGTTTGGAATTCTGATCCCAGGGGTTCGATGTTACTCTTCTTAAAAAAACCACTAATGTTGTCAATAACAATCATTCTGTCATTATAATGGATACATAACTGTAGAATCTGATGATGAAGTTATCGGAAAGAATAATATTCTTTGTTCAGTAATCAATCTTTTATAATTAATACATATTAGAAGACATTTAAAAATACTAGGTGTTCAGTACTTTTATTTGAGGCAAATAATCATCCGGGTTAGCTATAAAATCTCAAATAGTTGCCAACTGCATCCTGAGCCACGTATCATCTCTACTACTATTATTATTACAGATAAGATTATCTGTTAGACATAAGTAGCCTCGATTTGAGAATTTGATACTGACTCAAAGTCGTAGTTTAAGAGGATCTGGTTTATGTTTGGATCTGAATCAACCTACGCCTAAGCAAACTATGAACCATATGTTAATTTCACTGTCCCGGTTTTGAAAGTATTTTTGTCTAGAAAAGAAGTAACTGTTTGTTTGTGGTCATTATCATCACCACCACACAAGTTGCTCAATCACATCTCTCTTTCGAATTTAAAAGAGGTCATACTGAATTGAAAGAGAACTTTTTTAAAATAACTCTGACTAAAGCATTTTGGATAGATTACACTTAGCAGTTGATTTTAATGCAAGTGGATGACAGGGCGGGTTTATGTTTAAAATGAAGTACAAAATTTATTCAGCAGCCACTGATACAGTAATGGGGATCATATCGTAATCTAGAATTGCTATTTTCTTTAACATATTATCATATTAGATGATGATAATTTAATGAATGTATCCTGATATCTTCAAACGAATGCCAAAACTTTTTATTGATAGTAGATCTAAATGACAAGATTGATTATCGATTGTGTCCGCCGATTCAGTTGCTTCAGTAATATAGTTTCTTATTTTGTGTAGCTAAAACTTTATCTGTTGAACTGATTAATACACATTTTTACATAAACCACAGATAACTGGAGAAACTAATTAAATCTTTATTCAGCGGTGAACATTCCCAATTTTTGCTTTCGATTACTGTCTATCAGTTTAATGAGTGCTAGTTTAATAATAATAGTCTGTTATTTTATATCTGTCATCATTTTAGTGGATTTAGAGTTTTTAAAAGAACCAATCCATCTGAAGGAAGATATTAGTGTCCGTATATCATTGAAATGATTGCCAAAGCTGACAGAAAGTCTACTATTTTCAGCCATATTTCTAACATTGCAAACTTCATCCCTCATAATTTTAAAACTTGAATCATTTGAAAAACAACTGATACTAGATAATTATCATGTCCTACCTTGGAATTCTTCAGCGATACACAGCTACGATCTTGTGGAAGATTCGAAGGCTTCTTCCTGACTATTTGGCTGGAATTCAGTCTCCTTCGTTCTCTAAGCTTTGTTGATTTGCTACACAAACTGATCATTAATCAATGTCATCGATGAGCAACTGTGGTAGCGCTGCCTATTCAGTTAACAAAACTTGTTAAGGATTTTTATGTGGACTTTAAAGAATGCATCACAAAGTTCATCAGGCTTAAAAGCATAGAACATTAGATTTCGATTTAATGCTTACTTAGTAATGTGATTAACAGAAGACTTGACGGACCTGACCTCCATTATGAATAAAGTTGTCTATATGCACTGCTAATAAGCCATATATTAACGCGATACAGTCATCCAAGAACTTTTTCTCTTAATAGCTCTTTAGACTACATTGTGTCTTATGTACCGAAACTGCGTTTAAAATGCGTCTGTATCTCTAAATGATGGTTTCATAAAATAAGACTCTGAGGACATTTTTCACTGGTATCTTTAAATTAAATTTTTGAAAATATTGCTTAAAATGCCAGATATTCTTAACATGTATTATGGTTTTTGATAATTAAGTAGATGAATGATTTCATCACTTCACTTATTTAAGTAGTTGTGTTGTTTTTAATGTTGTGGTATCATAGTTACAGAGAAAGTCATCATAAGAACGCAAATGCATTTGATTTTCACTTCCTATATTAGTGTACTTTACGAAATTATGCTTTTTCTGAACCAGTGTCCAAACTGACTTCAGCTTGTGAGTATATTTGGTTTGAATTCATTTAATTCTCCATAAAACATAAGAACTTATTATCAGCCCACTTCGCAATAGCAGCTAACTTTCAGAAGGATTCCACAAGGTATGGATGGCAAAGACTACCAAGTCACATATATATTACTTAGAATTCTAGGGGTCCCATATTACAAGTGCGTTGAATAGTTACAATAATCACTTTATATCAGCTGCGCGGGAGGTTCGGCTTTGATTCGCAGCCGACGCACTTCTAAACCTCAACTAGTTTACTGGCCTAAAGTAAACCTGGAAGGGAGGGAAGTTTGGGTGTGAAGCTAACAATCCCAATCCGTACAAGAAAACAAAATCAAAGATACTGAAACTTCAGGGCTTGAGGTCGATTTATTCCACTTAGAATGCATAGAATAAAAGCAAATGTCACGTCAAACAACGACTAGACTAGGAAACAATCTTAGGATATTAACTAAAGTAGTGATCTAAATTCGAATTTTTGTATATTTTTACGAACTAGGGAGTTGAATATATATATATATATATATATATTGAGTAGACTAAACTATTCCTCTCTGCGACCTTCAGTTTCGTGAAAAGTCCAGTGGTAACGAATGCGAATGGCCCAAAACTCAACTAACAGCTAATATTTTTGATTGATGTAAGTAGACCATCTCTGAGTATACGCCTAAATTTTTAATGCCCAAAATATCTAAGATTTATTTTTGGTTTTTGTGTTGTTCCTTAATGTAAGTTTAAAAGTTTTTCATGTACAAAAGTAACAAGCATATTCTATTCAAGGGAAATTATCAATTCAAATGAACTGTCGTCAAGATTTGACATAATACTTCTAATTATCAATGCTCAGTATTTTTGTCAGTAATATATTCTCACCATCAGTAATAATAGCAATATATGAACATCCTCCTCATAATAATAACATTAACAACAACAATAATAATAGTGACGAAGTTACCAGTGGTATTGTCTCAAAACATTTTAGACATTAATCTTATGTTACTACTAACATCCTTGAAATCTGAATTAACTGTTTCAAAATTTGATTTGTTCTCATTAGCTTCAGTATTCTGATTAGAATCTTCCTTATTGTTATTATTATTACTGCTACTACCACCAGTACTGTTGTGAGCACCGTCTGTGTCCGAAATATTGAACTGTTCTGGATCCATACCACCATAACAGATTGTACCAACTTCTAAGGATATCTCTGAGTCATATAAACTAATTGTTGATATTCTAATATCACGAATAGGTAGAAGTGTTGGTTGTTTTGTGCGTACAGTTAATAGAAGACTGCCACTTTGTTGATGCTATAATGAAACGAAAAGATACAAATTAAATAAAACGTAATATAAAATAGTTGTACTTAGTGATATTAAAGTCAATTGAGGTGGAAATTAAAAAGAAGTCTGTGGCAAGATTCGAATTAATGCCTTCTATATCCTCCACAAAGTACTACAAAATTCTACAAATGAACAGGTTTTGTATTATGTCATTGATCTATTTGTAGCTTACCATCACTCCAGTGTAATTAAAGTGTTGATTAGGCCTAACAACTTCTGCTGCATTTATCAATATGTCAGTGAGTTTTATGGTATTACTTAAATGAAGTCTTTTATGTAGTGAATGAAATTAACCCTTTCATGTGTTACTCACTCCTAAGAAAATCATTCTGATAAGATTTACTAATATACTTCCCTGAAGGAACAGTTTTTGGCGCAGTTTATTCAGGTAAAAAACCTGTATATAAGACTTCTAAATTCATACATTTCAAGGTGACCACATAAATAACCTATTAGAATCATGATAACCGGACACGTCCCGGTAGAAAATAAACATGTATGCATGCTATAGGAAACACGGTTACTAGGTAGCTTTCGTCAGTTATTGAAGACACTTAGAAAACCGCTGAAAATAAAGCCATTTTACGATAACTTGGACGAAACCTGCTTTCAAGACAATCCACTACCCTCATTGAAAAATAATACTATTTTATCACGTGTAAGTGACCAGCTACAATGTAGAAGAAAATGAAAAAAAACTGCGTCAGTCAAAACGACGTAGGGATAATTAGTCAACATAACGCCAAGTAATGGTTGCATCATATCAAAAATATTAACACTTTCGCAATCGTTAGTCATTAGATTATCATAAAATAAATGGCAACACACTATCCATGAACCAAACCTATTTTGATGTCGTTGATAAGCAACAGTGAAGTGTCTCTAACCAGGATGAAATAACCCTCAGTTTTTGCTAATGATATCAGCTTAATCGAGTTTGTGTGAGTAATAAAATTTTTGTGTGCCCAGTGACCATTCAAGTCAGTTAGTATCACTTCAGTATAGTCTTGTCGATCAGTTAGTCAGTCAGTTGCGTCACAGTAATATAAACAAATTCGTAACAGACAGTCAGTCACTAGTAATCTGTGTGTCAGACCGACAAGATTTTCAGTCGTCAGAATGAAATGAAAACTTGACTAGCAAATGGATTTCATAGTTCAGTTTTCAGAGCAGTTATCTCTGACACAGTGGGTAATTATTTAAGTTCATTTCCATAATAGGCTTTCGTAAATGTTTTAACCGTATCCTTCTTGCATTAAGATTAGTCTATCAAGTCTAGAGTATCTTGGTGAGCTCACATGCCTAAGATATAAACCTAGTGTTTAAAACGAGACTGTTGGGACTTTTAGTCTTGCAAACAGCGCCTTAGAGTTTTAAAACTTTGAGTTAGAGTACGAACACTGAACGCAATGGAAATGCTTCCAAATGAAAAATCTCACAAAAGTCTAAACAGGCGTTGTAGACTCTGATATCTGCCATCACCTCGAAAAGTATAACCACAGCATTCCTCTAGTTAACTACACTGGCGCATCTGTTACTAATACTTGTGTCATTGATTCATTTCTATCTAGTAACGTGTATAGTCAAACACAACTATTTTTCTCTCTCTATTCCATCAAAAACAAACTTCTGTCTACACGTGAACTGAATTTGGTTTGTTTATTGTATTTAACGAATTTCTGTACATAACGTATTTTGTATACTTACACGTATTTATATTGTTGAAACAGATAATTTGGTTTATTGACTGTTTTTCAAACAAAAAACTCACAACAGCCCTGATTTTAAAAAGCAACAACAGTAACAACAATTAACTGATTTTAAGGATTATTATTTTGCGTCATTGAATAATTTAAAAAGAACTTATATATGGACAGAAGGAGTAATACCATTTAAGTGTCTGGAATATTTATATAGGGGGCAGTATCATACCATTAAACAGTGTCTGTCTGATTGTTTGACTACACTCTGATTGACCTATCCAATGATCAGCTAATTTAATGTTTCTTACCATAGGAATAGTTTATTTAGATGACTTCTTGTAGTTCTTTTTTTAAGGTTTACTAACTTATACAACATATTAAAAGTAATGATCTGTGCGAAGGTCGTTTCTTTTGTAAGTCAGTCACCTGGTGCATATTTTATAGACACTTTTAAAAATCCCCCCCCCCCATTCATTTGATGAGGGTACATTTCACGCGTAATACTTGAACTTATTATTTGGAATTATAATACATACTTTTAGGAAATTAAGGTTGTGTCTATTTAAAAAATAACTAATTCACATCACAAATCTTCATTTTGCTTATGTGCTGTCAGAACTCTTGAAGTCAGAAAACACACTCTTTGTCGGTCACAGAAACGTTTGGTGGTATTACGCATAAATAACGGGTAAATTAATACGCTAAAAAAATGTGTAACAACTTTTTCAAAAAAAGTGCTTTAAAATAATTCGTTTCACTGTAAATGTCGTGATGAAATCTTTGGTTAATTTAAAGACTTTGATGGCATTATTATTGCGGCCAACCGTCAACGTTAAGATTTTAAAGTTGTTTTTTTTCATTTTCAGACTTTGACTTTTGTGGAAGTTTGTATGAATTTTAGTGTACATTTCATTAAGAACCATCATCATTTAGAGAGTCATTTGAGACAAGAGAGTACTGAAGAGCTCTTTTTTCCTAGTTTGGGACTCCTAAGCACCGTGCACTCCATCAAGTAAAATATCCTGAGATCTTTGGGTTACGATAACAGCTGATTGACGATTACGTCCCCACTGTAACCAGTAGGGACCACTAGTTCAGGGTGAAGTGGGTGCTAACCGTCGGCTTTGGTTGGCGGTAGCGCTATATTTCACATTGAAAGAAGTTAGAATCTATGGGTTATTCACTTTTGACCCAGTGGCTCAATAGTCAACCATCTGGTTGTGTAAAGTAAAGGTTCTGAATTCGATTCGTGGTGGGGGTGAGCATGGTGCAAGAATCTCAAACTGGAACAGAACATCTGTATAGTGCTCCCTGGTCTTTGGTGATTCTCTAACTGATGTTGGTTCGTGATCAAATCTGCTTTATTCTTTCTTTGTTAATACTCATCTACATAATTAACTTTCATCGAACACATTCCGTAAAATTTTTTAATGTTTTGAGGTGAAAGCTTTAATCTTGACTGGTTTTCAAACTCATGAAAACTAGTGTATTAAACTGAAAGGATCTCAGAGGGTGTCATAGAAGATACTTCTTTGCGTTTACCATGATGAATGTGAATTCATGTGAATTACTCTATTCAAAAATGTTATGGATAAGTAACCGAATCATCTGTTAGTGCAAATTAGCACAAGGCAGCTTAATTTACTGCTTAATAAACTTACTAATCATTACTTTTAATTCGATATTAAGATAGATTCGGAAAAAAAGTCAGCAGATATAGAAACGAGTAACAGTAATATAATAGAAAGCGAAGAAAAGTTTTACCTAATATTGAATACTAAAACGTCTTTCAATCTTTGAGCAGTTTACCATACTGCCACTGGATCACAGCAAGATTGCTTATAGTTTCAAATTTCTGTCACTTCTCAAAGTAGCATCATTGGTATCTAACTATAAATCTTGACAATCATAAACTAATGAATATAAACCTAGTGGTTAAATTCTGTCCCATTATTTTGTGTGTGATAAGAATCAACGGTTGCATTCTTAGCAAGGTGGTAGAAACCCACTGATGAAGATACACAAAATAGTACATGGGATCCACAGACGGTTTCTAGTTTTGAATACTTCTCTCAGAAACATTGGTTTGTGATAATGTCTAACTTGAAACTAAATGACTGTTATTAAGCTTAGTTGTACTGCAACTGCATGTATATTCATTTATCCCACTACTAGTTACTTCTAATTAGAATTTCAGTGACTCCAATTTGTAACTGATGAGAAGTAGGCTGCAGCTCCACTAAAGTATTTACAGCCAATTAATTAACTTTAAAATTATGCTTACTACATTACTAACTTATTCAGTAAACCAATGAAAATCTAAAATGATTGAACTACTGATTGAGACTGGTTGAGTGTTGTAGAGTGCTAATCTGTTTTATAGATTTCACTGAAATCAAGCGATTTAATATTAAACTTATAGTTTAGTATATATTATATCCTGTCAACAACACGTATCCCTCACCACATGTCTCATTTAGAAATCAGTTATGTATTAAACACACCCTCCACACACATATACAAGAATACGATTATATATGTTAACATTCTACAGTTAGACCCAAAGATTAATTAACAGTTGGCTTACCAAGCATGTGTTTTCTTCAATTTCAATTGACAAAGATGGTATAGTCTCATTAAACTGTATTAGTACACCACTGTCACTTAATAATGACAACTCTTCTAGTATGTTTCGCATATTTCGACAATTCACTTTCAATCGTTGTATTGCCACTTCACTGGATAATTGAAGGAAGACCAACTGATCTTTTGGCATGTGATATTCAATTTGCTGAATAAGTTAAATTTTCGGAAGTTTGAAAAGATAAGAAATTAGGACGATAGATATGAATTAAAGAAGTAATTATTACTTAAGCCTCCCGAAAACAGTAAGCTTCCGTATACCGTGCACTACTGAGGCCTTAGCGATCTGGACAGAAAACCCGGATTTATGTACACAGAAGAAACTGCTCCACCCTCTCCTCCTACTTTGGCTATAATTCCAAGTTCTGCGACTTTGTTAATGATGCTTTCTTTCTTTTGAATGATTGTATGGCATCTTAGTAACACATTCTTCTTAACGAACGCTGTATTTACTATTTCCACCTATTGCATAATCTATTTTTTGGACTTGTGTCTCCATTAATACCCTATTTCATGTTACTCAACCCTTTTCAATAATTACCAATCTTCACCCCCTCCCCTAGCTACAATTTTGGTTATTCATCACATTTTAGAAACATTCTGATGACGTTAACAGTAACCGTTACAAACTTTTGTTTTTTATTTAAAGTAATTGAAAGCAAACCACAGGAGTTGTTATCATGGATAAGTCTGATTACCTTAGCGAAATGGAGACTTTATTAAGTGATGCATGCTAATTTCAGAAACTAACAACCGACAGAGATACGACGAAGAGGACTGAGAGACAGTTGACAGAGTCTTTAAAAGTTGAAATAACAAGGCCATATTTCACCAGACTTGTATGAAACACTAAAACCTGTAGGCACGTTGATACCCAGGTTATGCGGCTTTCCAAAGATTCACAAAAACGGCATATCACTTAGACCAGTCCTTGATATGTCTAACTCACCATACTATTCAACTGCGAAGTGGCTGGTGGAACTTTTACAGCATAAGAAACTTGTGAAAAATAGCGTAAAAGATAGTTTTGAGTTTGTAGAAAGAATCAAGGAATAAAATGTGAAGGACGAATATATAATACAACTGCATGCATCCTCCTTATTCACCGACGTGCCTTTGCTGAGAACAATTGATTACACAAGTAGTGAACTGATGAAGCAAGGAATTCCTGTGTCTTTCCTAAAGGAACTTCTATTAAGGTGTACAATAAACTTAAGTTCCCTGTTCAATAAAGAAATCTATAGACAATCAGATGACGTTGCCATGGGGTCACCATTAGGCCTAATCCTAGCAGATTTTTTCCCGGCGAAACTATAGAATGGTCCACTTAGAGATGTAATATATAATCTTGATTTCTACTGCCGATATGTTGATGATAGATTTATAGTTGTTAAGAAAGAAAGTCAGGCTAAGGACATATTGGATAAATTCAATAGAGCACATCCCAGCATAAGTTTCACTAAGGAAGAGAAAGGAAATGACTCTATCCCCTTTTTGGACGTCCTAATGACCAAACAAACAGATGGAACAATATGTGGACGTTTGTATAGAAAACCTATTTCCGCTAGACACTTTACTTACTTCCTGAGCTTCGTCCCTCTACAACACAAACGTAATCTGGTTAGATGTCTGGTTCACCAGGCTAGAGTTATCTGTTCAAATGAAACACTGAACGAAAAACTCGGTAATATTCGCGATCTACTAAGTAGAAAAGGATATACAACTTAATTCGTAAACAAACACATGAACTCAGAAAGTAAAGAGTCGAAGGTGCTGACTGTTCCCAAAAAATCAGTTTTCGTAAGATTACAATTCATGGGTGATGTCAATAGTAAGATATTGTCACAACGTCTGCGAAGGACCTTCAAAAGGACTTTCAACGCAGCTAAGCTATACTGCATATTCACTAGCCCACTGAAACTTAGTTCAGAAAATAAAGACAGACTGCCCTGTTTCGCCCCTTTCATGTATATTTGCCAGTTTAACTGCGCATAAGGAACTAGTTACATTGAGCGTACGATCAGGCAAGTTCATCGTCGAATCTCTAAACACTTACCATCCTGCTTTAGAAAAGGTTCGACGTGAACACGGACATCAAGTTAACTCTAACAAAGCTTTTAAAGTTATTTATCCCATATCACCCAACCTCTCGCCACGTGGTCTACGAGTACGACTTTTACATACAGCAGAGGAAATCGGAATACATCTGAACAAGCCAAATTTGTACGTGCGTTCAAAGGAAATTTCTTCAGCCCCTTTGTTTGCCTTGGCCAACTATATAATATGTATTAAGTTTTTTAAAACGAATTTTCCCCTCCCCTTGTAACTATCCTTTGACTTTGTTCATTTTTACAATTTTACAATTGTAGCTAATTCTATTAACTTGTTTGTATTTTACGTAACTCTGCTGAGTCATCCTATTCTTCTTAGTTATCATTGCTATTTCGCAGATTTCTTGATTATATAAATACTTGTTGCCAACGCCTAAGAATCAGCTTATCTTGAATTGCTTAATTGATTAATTTCCACTCCTCCTTCAAAAATTAGATATCTTGTTACTAACTGACATCTACTAGTTAATTGTTTTCATGGCCTTTAACCTCTTTTATTTCAAACTGGTTAACTAAAATAACCACTTGATTGGTGGAACATTTTGATAGAAAAAATTATATATTAGTGTATAGCCAGCCAGCCGATGATGAGGAACTGATTGAAAAGGAATATATTTCTTCTCTCAGTCTGTTGTTTTTCAAATACGCAAGTGGGAATTCGGAAATTGCTTTTATTTTTGCTTGGCAATCCTAATGTACACATACACACACAAAATTATTATATATAAATGCGATTGTACAGGTAATTCAATCAGTTCACCGGAAAGAGACCCTTCGCTGAACTTTGTTGTTCTTATACTGATGTCTGGATGGATATTTTCTGTCAAACAGCATGACTCACATTGATAACAATGAAAATTAGGTTTAATATGACAGGAGAGAAAAAGATTTGAGTCAAGACTGCCTATGATGTCGAAAGCATTTTTACAGGGTTTACATAGTATATTCACGTGTCATCTAAGTATACTCAGTTAAACAAAATGAATACACAAAAGATCAAGGGAAAACATGTTAAATAATCAATTAAAGCAATTAATACAGTATTCTTTTTGTAACAGACTTACAGCATTCTCCGATTTCATTAAGTATTCAGAATACCATAAATGTTTTGCCTTTGATTGTGGTGACAAATAAACTGATGGCATTTGTTCCGTAACTGGGCTTACACAAGTTTCCAATCCACTTAAACGACAGTAGACACTAATTCCATCTCTCCAATGACCACCGTTTGGATCCACATAATAAATACCTGTATTGACAACATGTTTTTAGAAACTTTAGCTAAATAATTTTAATCATGTGATTATTTCTTTATTTTACTTGAAGTTATAACAGTTTGATAACATACAGTCTTTCAGAAGTACATCTGCAGTGAAGTTGAAATCACTATCCATACGAAACACTTTGCCAGTAATTCATAGGCATTAATAGTCAGTGACAGTATGTAACGCAAATTTTACTTTCATTTGAAACTTAGTTAACGTGAGTGCTGATAACACGTGGGATTGTAACATTAGATAGCCAGTAACATGATTCAAATTAATTCAGTGGAGAATAATAAATAAAAAGTGTAATCTGATAGCTTTTCAATCAGTTTAAATAACCCAAAGACATACTCGATACCGCTAACCACAATTCGTCACCGATTATACGGTTTACATACATAGAAACAAACATTAATAAAATAGTGATACGCCACTACTGAGAGCTGCAAGTTTGTGAAAATGACACATAATATTTGGTTGATATAATTCATGTATAACCTTTATAAAGGATAAAAGCTTTTTTAAGAAAGATATGAAAGTATTAAGCGTAGCTCATAAACAATAAAAATGAGTAATTCTTAACTTTAGGAAAGTATAATTAAGAAAGAGAGTTGTAAAACCTTTGAGTAAATGAAGAAACACGTAAACAAAGTCATTTAATAACATCAGGAACTAATGTAATGTAAATTCAACATAAATTTTTCCTCTGACCTAAAATAGGAACATAATAAAAGAAAAAGCAAAGATCTAAAGGTAGACAGTAAATTACCAAGGAAGATTTAGTGAAAAAAGACTTAGCTTTGCATCTACCAATACTACTATTGTAACGACAGAAGGCAAGAGTCAGGCAACAGATCATTTATTAAGGAAATCAAAGCATATTTATATATTTCAAGTACATCACGATGGATATTTAAACAAACAAACACAGTCTTCAGATTGGTTGTTTCTCACGTAAAGTTAATCTTTCATCTATTTGTGACTGTTTCTTGAATGTCAAATCCTCTATATGTTAACTGCATCCACCTACGCAAAGTCTGCTGTGGTCGGTTTTGAATCAATCTTTGTTCACATTTTCTCACGACAAATCTTGGGAACGTAAATATTGACGTAAATTACTGTCTACCAATTTGGCTAGTAGACAGCTCTCACCACACTATAACGTGTCGTCCTGGTTCGGGACTCCTCATCAGTACTCGTCCTCCAGGACCTTCCGGTTACAAGGCGAGGTGGGAGACCATTAGGCCACTGGAACCCAATCCAATGGCATGTGAATTCTAACTTCTGCCAATTCACGATATAGCACGACCACTCACTAATGTCATCGGCGAGTGTTTGTCCTCATCCGACCTGGCGGCCTGCTGAAATCACTGGGCTACGGAAATTGCTTTCCACCAAAATGCACAATTTCATCTGGATTTGTCACTGTTTTAATCTTCCAGTTATATCAAATGACCTATACATAAATTTTCGCACTGATTTAACTTGCTTCCAAGTAAACGCTGTGCAGTTCTTCAACGAAATGAAGATGTACTTCAGATTATTACTTAACATGTAAATCCTGTACGAAAAAAAGTATTTTGGAGCCAAATACACTGAAAGTTTTTGTACCATATGTTCACATATTGTCTCAAATAAAGCTTTATTATTATTACCACACTGGTTGCAATTTCTCACTAGAACCCAAGTAACTACCTACCTGAATAGGGTCAGTCGCTAGTGAGCATCAGATTGGAATTCATTAGCCATTGGATTGAGTCCCAGTGGTTTAATGGTCTACGAACTCACTTTGTAACTGGAAAGTCCTGGGTTCTAATCCCGATGAGTGCGTACTGTGAAGAGTCCCAAGGCAGGACGAAACAACTGTTCAGTACTCCCAGGTTTTCCATGGTTCTCTAACCGATATTAGCTTATGATGAAATCTTCAGAACCAATCAAATCCCTGCAAACCAACACTAGAATACTATAATGATCATATTTTTCTAGGCAACACATGACTGGACTCTTCGAAAAAGGAACTATGAACAGATTACAGGCACGTAGGATGATGTTCTTCAATACAAGCTGATCGATATCTTTTAGTGCGTGAATTGGTATACATAACCATCATTTTACGGGTCATTTTCAATATACTTGTATTAGAATTTATAAATAAAACCAAGGTTTTGTAGACAAAGATTCATCTCAAAGTCTTCACTGAATAACATTTATTCGATTGACATTAAGTATACTTCTTGTACGACAATTTAATATAAGCGTGCTTCTTAGGAAGTTCAGCAGCCATTTCTTTTTATTTAAAAAAATTAAAATAACTGTTAATAAATTCCTAAGGATATCCAATTTTCATCAGTATTTTCTTCAAGAACTAATGTCCTGAAAATCAACCTGCCAACCAGATAAATTCTTCTTACTTAGTCATATGATTTTTTCACTGGATATTTTTCACACCGATATGTCTGGCGGCCTGCTTACAACTTGGGTTTCCTAAAACCTCCATCAATGTACTGCATATAGTTTCTCTTATTTAATTTGTTTAAATCTGGTAAAAGATGACCTCACATAGTACCGTTTACTCTGGTTAGTATTTAAAACATTTACAACCTGGAGTTTCGCAAATATGAGAAATAGCATTATTTTCGGTGGTAGTTTATCCCAATATGTGGGATGACTGTTCCTGAGTGATGTACTTGGTTCATAAAATGCACTCCTGAACTTTTTATAATTGGCATTCAAAAAATTTCGTGTATTTCTCGAAGAAGAAAAAGAAGAGATATCATCATAGTGGATTGGTTTGCACTTCAGGTCAGATAAACTGTGCCAAACGATCTATTATCAATTATTTGAAAATCTTGGACAAAAGAAAATATCATACAATAAACTCCGCTGAAAATACTGTACATTATATGACCACTGTTCATAATAAAGCTGTTATTATTATTATTAACTAGGTGAAAACTTTTAAGATAGGAGAATTGGGTTTTTAGTTAGTTACCGTTTTCTTTTCTGCGTCAGGTAAAATTTATAATAAGCATTATTTCATCTAATGAATTGTATATTGCATTCAAGTTATTTTGTATGAATGCCGTGCTCTGTCGTAAATTTGATGCCAGTTTTGACATTTCCTGATACAAACTTTTAAATGTATTCATCTTTATTTGTGGGTCAGTGGTCAACTTATATCGTGACATTTTACTGCTATATAATATGTACATGCACGTTATGCTATTGAATACTTTAATTGTCTAGCATATTTTTGTTGACAATCAAGATGGATCTATGGATTACATATGGAGTTATTTTCTTTTCTATGACCTATTGAGTTTAGGTGATAATTACTTTTCATCATAGTTAAGCTGGTTTTAAAACTTGGTAGTGTTTGACGTACTTAACAATAAGTGATTACTTGTACATAGCTCAAACTCAAATGTATCTACTTGACAGGTTAGAAGTGACAGAAAATGATCATTTTTAAGTTTACTCCTAGTTATTAACAAGCAAAAATATCAATATGAGAATAAAGTCATCCCATTCTTCATAATAATTGTATACTTATAAACTAAGAGATACTGCCTTTCAGGTTAATAAATTTGCTAACACAAAATATTTCAAGTGTATAACTGCCACTAAACCATTTAGAACTAAATCGATCAGAACAATATGAGTAAATATTACTTATTGTTTTCAAAAAATCACATAGAATGATGAAGCCTCGGATTGTAGGATTACCAGATATTGACTAACTTCCATACATCAACCAAATTGTAGGTGAATGCTAAACAAATATTGCACCAGGACGAAGAAAATCCATTCGTCTCCACTTTGGATGTGTGACATTCAAAAACTTGTATTTTTAAAAATCCCAAGTATCGCCAGTTACTTATTTGTTTATGTAATGACTGAAAATATCACGTTTCGTTTATTCTTAGGTATAGGAAGATGTGATAGGGATAATACAGGTGAATGAGTGATTTCCATTGGTACATCAAGAACGCCAGACAGAATTAACTTGGGAATAAGATGGTGAATATGACTCACTTGGCAGCTACCTACTGAAATGGTAAATTAACGAGATAGAGGTCTACAGTTTGGCTTTATTTTGCTTTCTATATTTGTATATTACATTGAAATCCCTTAGCGCTAATAACCAATAATTTTAATGTACCGGCGATGATTTATTTATTGAGTGAAAACTCCAATTACAATAAGCCTTGAAACAGTGAACTCCAGGATACTAGCCTTGAGCTTAATAAATGAGCCAAAAGGCTGAAATAATGATTAGGTTTATATTTCACCTCTGTTAGGTATAATTTAATACGACTACAAACGAAGCAGTTTCTTTTGTCGTCAGTCAAAGACAATTTGGGACTGAAACGAGAGTATCGGAATATATAGCAAGTAGAATTATGAGGTAGGCATATAGGTGTGTGTCACGCATCCTTGTAATAGTGAAACAGAACTCGAAGAGGTTGGATTGACACTTAGATCTGACCAAATAGTATATTTTGCAGTTCAATAATGAGTTAGGTACAGGGTAATCGATTTGATGACGTAATGATCTCCACTTTCTTTAAGAATTAAGTTTCTGTTCACTGATGAAAAGATGAGTCAGACAAGCAAAGGACAGCTAACGTAATGCTAATTTCAAAAATAATTTTTAAAACTGCCAGCCAACAATTTAATTTTCTGATAATGGAGAGGTGAATAATGATTAACCCTCAGATAAATACATTATTCGAAGAGTTGAGTTCATAACCTCTAATTTTATCATTATGTACATCTTACTTAAGCTGCCAGTTTGTTTGAAATCAGTTAGCCGCAGGAGATCTTTCACGTACCAGGCTAAAAGCCACACTTATTATGCATTGGTTTGTGATACTAGACAGATGCCAAGTTGAAATAAGTGGAGTGGAACTCTAACCCGTGACCTGTTGGCTGTAAATCAAGCTCTTGAGGCAACCAGTCATATTCCCACAACTTTAAGGGTGAGAATACAGTAATTTGAGTACTGAAGTATAATTACCTTGCTAAACACTTATTATGATTCCCTCGAACTTGAAGATAAGAAGGAAAGTATTATGCATCAAGAGTTTAAAGTTAGGTATGAGGTTGTAAATGCTGGCCGTTGAATTGTGACTGGGCTCTTTTGGAAAGCACACAAACGTTCCACTTCAAATCATTTATAGAAGCGTATCTAGAGAGAAACTATCCATAATCCTGTTAATTTTATTTTTATTTCTAGGTAATATCAACCACTAATAAAAGTCACTTTCAAAAATGACAATTGTAAATGATTTGTAATAAACAATGTAACAACTGAGTCAGTTGTGCATACTCAGTTGAAGCCTATTTGCACGCATAATGTCATATGCAGTGGGTAAGTGGACAAATATCAAAAGTAACTGGATTAAACGTAAGAAATAAATCGAACCATATAGAGAACCCTTCAGTTCGCTATGTGAAAAGTTGGTGGCAGAGGATTTAAATTCTTCTGGAATAGATAACTGTAATAACTTCTTATCTTGACCTAATTGCTAAATATTTTCATTCTACTGGCTTTTCTAATTTCGAAAGCTAAGATTTTAGACAAACCGAGCTGATATACTACAAAGACACAGTACAAATTCATCTAGTAAGTTGTCAAGATTACCAACGCCATATCTGAGGCATTAATTTTGAGTGAACATATATGTGTCTTCACTAATGTAACTCCAGTAGTAAGAAAAGTTCACATATTTTATGGGACGAAAACCTCGCTGGCAGTTACTACTCAAAAGTATGAATTTGTTTAAGATTGAGCTCATAATGTACTTTAGTTTTCCACTCCAACCTTCATCTGATTACACTGATACCAATCTTTTAAACAAGTGTTTTCAGAGAGTCCTAAAAATAGTGAACTGTTACATATTACTATTATTTAAATAAGCTAAGCTGCTGAGAATTCCCAAACGAAGACGAAATATTTGTTCAGTATACCCTAGTTTCTCAAACTGAAGTCAATTCATGGCCAGTTTTCATAACAGATTACGAATAGTTAATAAGTGAATTTCTGTTTGAACTTTGAGAGTTAGCTATAGCTAACTTTCTTTATACATACAACTATCAAAGTTCGTATTTTGAACAGTTTACTTTCACAGCTTACAGTTTATTTAACAATTCATGTGTAAAGGATTGAAACAAATTAAATATATAAACATTTATGTATAGAAAAGCATCTAAACCATGTTTGATTTTATAAGTCAAATCTTTATGTTTGCTTCTTAGTGTAATAATTTATTTTGTTGTCTTTGCTGGCGTAATGTATATTTAATTTAGAATCAAGCGTTTCCTATTTGCATATTAAACAGTGAACACATGTTCTGTTAATTGAACAACTGATTTAATTAATGGCGTATTTCTTGTATGAAATGACAACTTACTACTAATAAGCCATATATACATTATTATATTCAAGAGCTGATTTGTAAGGATTTGATTTGTTTTTCGAGTTAGACCGCAAACTGATAACAGTTATAGAACCACTGCAAACCAGGAAGTACTGGACAAGTGTTTCATCCTAGTTTGGGACTCATCGGCAGTATACAAATTAATCTGATGCTCGTTAGTGACTGGCAACAAGACGGCGTTTCCTGAGGTTCTAGTGAGACGTCGTAACAAGTGATATGCACCCAGTGGGGAGTAAGGATGGATTTCCTGCCGATGACATTAGTTGGTGGTCGCTCTAAAAATCAAAAGTTGGTGGAAGTTAGAATTCATGGGCCATTCAATCGAGTCCAAGTGACTGAATGGTATGCGAGCTAGCTTTGTAACCAGAAGGTCCTTTGCTCGAAACTCTGTGGGTGCGTACTGCCGATGAATCCCAAACTAGGATATATATATATATATATTCGTGTTTTTTCATTTAATGTATATCTGGTTAAAGTTTGACTTAAATACATTTCATTGAAGACGGGAATTAATGTGCTGAAACTGAACTCGATCAAATTCTGTACAACTGAAAATCACAAAATAAGGAGAAAATATGAAAAGACACATCCTATATGCGTCGCAGTTATCTGGAGTTGCAGTGAAACGATATAAAACATAAGTCACTGCAAGTCACAAGTCCGCAACCCTTAGCATGTTTCCAATTATTTATTTGCATCAAAATCGATTTTTTAAAGGCAAACTTCTCTAAGATACTTTGGTCATTAATTGATCCACTGAATCATCTTACCACTTCAACCAAATGCATATGGAGACTCAGTGATATAAATATGCAGCTGGGGTAACGGGTAGATGTGCAGTCGATTGAAAATCAGTAACCCACATAGCAAGTTAACTAAACTTTCGATGACCGAAGAGAAAGTGTGATTTTATAAGTAGCTTGATATTGCAACCTGATCTGTTTAGCTTCAAGTTAGTAGCTGTAAGGCATGTAGTTTTAAAACTTCAGTAAATATGTCGTTTTTAGAAGCTACGCAACACCTAACAAGACGAAACTGACTTGTAATTTATGTCATGTGAATAAACTGAGGGGAAACTTGGTCAAAAATCATAAGTTTACTAATTTACTCATTTTTATATCTCACATTTACAACTCCCCTCATTATATTTACACACATTTTGTCAAATACGCTTTACCAAATAGTAAGATTATTACTCTAAAGAGTTGTATGCAAAAGGAAATCCGTACTTTAATGATAGCATGCTTTATTTTTCATGAAGGTCACACCTAATTTTATCTTCTGCGCCTTCATGCTTCATTTTGCCTTGAATATTTTCTTGTTGAATTAGGCTTGAAGTTAATTCACCTAGTCCAAGATCTGACCTATTTGTCATTCATTTATACGCTATAAATTGATTCTATCCATTTTAAAACTGTTTCCTGTCACGAATCAACTTTAACTGATAACCAAGGAGTGATGAGTAGTTATTTTATCTTAGTACTGATGAGCCTCTCAATTAGTGCAGTTTAAACCAAAAATCGGGAAATTTTGTAGTATGTGCAATATTATTGTGACATTCAATGACAATCTAATGACAAAGCGTAAAGGAAAATATTAAAGGAACAAAAATATGAAATACTGGAGTTCGACTTAATGGCTGAATATGAACGTGTTCTTCTTAAACTGCAATGATCCTAGATCTGATGCCATATTTGTATTGCCTCAGAGACATACACCAGAGTGAATAAGTGACTAGCTGCTTTAGCTCTACAGGTGTTCTTTACCCGATACTGATTTATGGCAAAACTTACTTTCAGTTTGTTACTTGGTCATAGTAATAGTTAACGATAACACTATTGTGCTGTTTGCAAGTAGTCTGAATGCAGATAGCTTGGAGTGAACTGTAGTTTTTTTATTCGTTAAAAATAACTTCATAAGCTGACATCAGTTAGAGGAACTTTGGAAAAGCGACTGGGAGTACTGGACAGCTATCTCGTCCTAGTTTGGGACTCTTCGGCAGTACGCGCTAGGACGAAATAGCTGTCCAGTACTCCTAGGTTTTCCAATAGTTCTCTAACTGATTTCAGTTCATGGTGAAATTCCCCAACCAGTCAAACAAAAATCCCTACAAAAACCAATAACTGAAAAATTACTTCAGCAACACTTCATAACTATAAGTTGGACAATATCAAGTTATATAACTTTTACTCCACGCATGTGTGTCGTAGTATACAGTATCAGAATAAATACCATATTTCTTCTCAATGACTCGAAATGTTTTTAATCCACTATGTGCATCCCGTAAATATAAGAATGAGAATAGGTGAGAAGAGAGTAGGTATTATCAATACGCATCTGCTTACCATCTTTTTTCTCTGGATGATCTCTCTTTAGATCATGACATGTTCTCGCGGGATTAAATTGAGTCCCACTTCCACTATTCAAACTATTTACAAGTCGACCAACTTGTCGCAAAGCTTCAAATATATCCTCCTCCTTTGAAAGGAAAAAAAATACAAATTATATATATATATATATGTTGGTTTTAGTCAGTGTTAAGACCGCAAATTAATTTAATTCCAGTATCTGAGTATGATGCTACTCGTCGCTCTTATTCAAATAATCAGCTAACAGATGCATTAGTCAATCACGTATCAAAGAAACAACATACTGATTTTGTTGATAGACTGGTGTAATCAATAGCATTCCTGTCATGAATGTCTTAACCCCCTGTCTAACAATACCGACGTGATGATTAAGAATTTAATTTGGAATTTTCAGTAACTTTTCTGAGGTTTTACTTAATTATTCTGTTGCCTCTCACCTCTGTGTTTTCCATTTCAATATTTTTCTATTTATATTCACTTCTTTTTTCGTTCTAATACTAAATTTTGAATCCCCGATGCTCATTAGTTCCACTGAGGTTGTAGATAGATTTTGTTGCCAAGTTCCAATAAATAGAATACCTAAGGGAGTTCTGCCTAATGATAGCGTTCAATCATCTAGCATTAGTGTATATAACTACAGTTACATACTGATACCATCCATTTACCAGGAATAGATACTTGTGATTTACTGCTGTCACTGAATTAGTCGATAATTGCCACTTAAAATTATACTAATTGGAATTTTTTCTGCGGACAAAGACACGGCAAAACAATAAAGATAAGATGAAATGCAGTGTTTACCATATTAAATAATACACATCACTTTCGACATACAAGTCCATTTATTTGAAAAGACGTTACAGACAGGGTTGTTGACTAAACGTCTTCAATTTACGTGCAGTTTATATGCTAACTTCAGATTTGTCATAAGAATCAAGGCGTCGTAATGGTCGGTTGGTTTTCGACATAGAACTTTGCACATATGTGCGGCAGTTCAAGTCGCCACACTCCATGTAGCACACAAAGCAAGAGAAGAAAGTAGAAGAAATGCATAATAGAGACAGTAAACAGAGGTGTGAGACAAAGGAATAGTAATAAAGAAGAACAAAACAGTTTCATCGGAAATCATAAGTCACAAGGAGTGGATGCATCTGCGCCATTGAGAACGATTTTGAGCCATGTCACCAATTGTTTCCAACCATTGGTTTTTACCGTCCCAAGGACCCCAACCAGGAAGTCTACATCTTCCTACGTGGCTTAGACTAACTGTTGTGGATTTCATTGACTGGTGCCATGTTTTCGTTTGACCGCCGCTAGCTCTTTTCCAGCCTAGCCTTATATCAGCAAACATTGCCCGTCGAGGAAAACGATGACTAGAAATACGTAGCACATGTCCTAACCATCTCAGTCGAAGTAATTTCACAGTTTCGTCGATTTATTTCCCCGCCTTACCTAGCACTCGACGCCTAACCTCAATATTGTTCGCCTTATTATACCACTTCACGCTGGAGATAGAACGCAGACACCTATGATCGAAGACAGCTAATCTTTTCATGTCTTCTTCTCTCAATGGCCAGGTCTCACAGCCATAAAGGAGGACGGAGCGGACTGTTGAGCAGTACACACGCCCTTTGGTCGATAGTCGGATATCACGTCTACGCCAGAGACGGCGTAAACTGGCGTATGCGAACCTAGCCCTCTGTATTTGTGCTGGTATTTTGTCTGAGATCAACCCGTTGGGGCTGATGGTACCTCCCAAGTAACTGAAGCGGTCAACTTGCTCTACCACTTCACTTCCTATTTCTAATCTAGGAGTCGGTGAAGTCCAATCCTGCAGCATCATCTTACATTTTACAGGGGCGAATCGCATGGCAAACATACGAAGATTGTTGCTCAAGGTGTTCAGTAGACTCTGCATTTTGTCAGAGTCCTCGCCTAGAAAAACTATATCGTCCGCATATTCTAAGCCAACGAGATTCTTCCCTGGTAGCAAGTCTATCCCTGAGTCCCTGAAGTGTGTTAGGGTTAAGTCCATTAGTACGTACATGAGGAAGTTGAATAGGAATGGGGATAATGGGCATCCTTGACGGACGCCACTAGTCGTCACCACTTCAGATGACAACTCGCCATAAGCCCTCACCTGGCTGCATGAGTACGAGTAGAGTGCCTTAATCAGTGCAATGTATTTACTCGGCATCCCCTTTACAGCCAAGCATCGCCATAGAACCTCCCGGTCGACAGAATCGAATGCCGCCTTTAGGTCAAGAAATGCGTCGTAATGCGTTTAATTTAACGGTACCATATGAATTAAGAACCTCGCCTAGATTACTAGCTCGCTAGTTTTCTAGCCGGTCCCAAGCTCGGATAGAGAGGGAGGGTTGGGGCATGGTGCTAGCAACTCCACTCCCAAAACTTAACCAAATTGCTACAGAAACTTCAACGCATAAATATATTCAAAATACCAAAATTATCAACAATAACCTTATTTTTCGCTGGAATCGCGGAAGTGAAATGACGCAGGCTGGTGAAAGCCTTCGGGAAGCCAGTCAGCCGATGTGCCTCCTTTCGATGAAAGCAAAAATAAGGATGGGCACGTGGAATGTTCGTACAATGTACGAAGCTGGAAAGGCTGCCCAGGTAGCCGCAGCAATGAGGAGATACGGAATAGAAGTGTTGGGAATCTGCGAGAGTAGATGGAACGGATGCGGAAGGTGCCAACTATCAACTGGAGAGACAGTAATCTATTCCAGTCACCTAGAGGACAGCCACGAGCACACCGAGGGAGTGGCCATCATGATGTCACCAACAGCGGCTAAAGCTCTCATGCAGTGGGAACCAATCACCTCTAGGATAATGACAGCTAGGTTCAACTCAAAAGGAAGGAAGGTTACAATAATTCAATGGTATGCGCCTTTAAACGCCTCAGAACAAGAGAAGAAGGAGGATTTCTACAGACAATTACAAACAGTAATGGACAACGTCCCAAATGGCGATATCAAAATCCTGATGGGTGATATGAATGCGAAACTGAAAAGAGACAGTACAGGAAGAGAACTCACCATGGGTCGTGAGGCCCTTGGTGAAATGAACGACAATGGTGAACTCTTCTCAGACTTCTGCGCCTTCAATGATTTGGTGATTGGTGGCAGTGTGTTCAAACACAAGGATATACACAAGGCGACATGGATTTCACCAGATGGACACACCAAAAACCAGGTAGACTTCATTTCAATCTCAAGGAAGTGGAGACGGAGCCTGCTAGACACAAGGTCGGGGAGAGGAGCAAATGTGGGTTCAGACCACTATCTAGTACAAGGGACTTTCAAGGTGAAGCTAAAAGCCTCGAGGATAGCTGAGGATAGGCCACAAATCAAGTTCAACACTCAAAAACTGAAGGACACAACCACAAAGGACACTTTCACTGCAACTGTCAGAGCAAAGCAGGAAACACTACGTGACATCACGGAAGAATCATGCGTGGAAGATCATTGGAGCTGAAGTCTTGAATGCAATCAAGCTTCTGAAAGCTGAAAAAGCAACTGGACCAGATATAATACCGCCTGAAGCACTGAAAGCGGACCCAGAGACGACAGAAGATATGCTGACTCCATTATTGCAGAAAGGTCTGGAAGGAAGCAAACGCGCCTAGTGACTGGAGGAAAGGTTACCTAGTGAAACTACCAAAGAAGGGCGACTTAGGACTCCGCAAGAACTGGCGAGGAACCATGCTCCTGTCGAAGCCAAGTAAAATCCTGAGTCGCATCATCCTGAAGAGAATAAAGGACGCACTGGATACAGAACTCCGACCAGAACAAGCTGGATTCAGGAAAGGCAAATCATGTTCTGACCAAATTGCAACTCTACGCATCATCATCGAACAAAGCATGGAATGGCAATCAAACCTCTACCTCAACTTTATAGACTTTGAGAAGGCCTTCGACAGCGTTGACCGCGAAGTAATTTGAAAACTACTCAAGTACTACGGCGTACCCCAAATATTCATCAACCTTATTCAACAGCTGTACGACAACGGCACATGTCAAGTGATCCACAACGGAAAACTCAGCGAGGCGTTTGGAGTAAACACAGGAGTCAGACAAGGGTGCTTATTATCCCCAATGATATTCCTAATTGTGGTGGACTGGATTATGCGTCAGACAGTAGGAAACGAGAAGACAGGGATATCCTGGACCGACGTGAAGAACCTCGAAGACCTGAATTTCGCAGATGATTTATGTTTGATGTCACACAAAATCGAAGACTTACAAACGAAAACCAACAAACTGGTCGAAGAAGCAGCAAAGACAGGACTCCAGGTGAACATAGACAAGACGGAGGTTATGAAAATAACCAACCAACAACAACAACAGCAGCAACATCCAGCGCCAATCACCACCAACAGGAGGGATTTGAAAGAGGTTACTTCATTCACTTATCTAGGGAGCATTGTCTCAACTACAGGAGGAACGGACGAGATGTCAAATCGAGAATCGGGAAGGCGACAAAACACATTCATCAACCTGAAACCAATCTGGAAATCTTCGTCACTCAGCATCAACAACAAAATTCGGATTTTCAATACAAACGTCAAGTCAGTCAGTTCTTCCATACGGATGGATCAGAAACTTGGCGGGTCACAAAGAATATTTCCAACAGGTTGCAGATCTTTATCAACAACTGTCTTCGTTCTATACTGAAGATTAGATGGCCGGAAAGAATCACAAACAAGAAGCTATGGGAACAAACAAAACAGGAACCAGTCGCTCAACAAATATGCAGGAGAAAGTGGATATGGATTGGACACTCGCTGAGGAGGCCGCTGGGTGACATAACGCGTCAGGTCGTCGAGTGGAACCCGAAAGGGAAGTGGCGAGTGGGACGTCCAAGGGTGACATGGAGGAGATCGTGTGAAGAAGAGTTGAAACAGTATGGACTAACATGGATGCAGGTGAAAATTACAGCAGAAGACAGAAGCAAGTGGAGACGTTTAGTTGAAGCCCTATGTTCCACTAGGAACCCAAGGGAACAATAATAATATGAATTAAGAATGCTTCAAACTGCAGCATGTGAAGGTTATTGAAAACTGAAAATCCCCTAACGACATATTATTTTACACCTTACCTCATCGTTAGGGTCAGTTTCTTTGCTTGGATCGTAATCTTCATCACTCCATTCATAGGAACGTCGTATTCTTCTGCCTCTAGGACTGGGTTCATCGGCTTGCTAAGATAAAGGTAATAAAATAAATCTAACTCAGAGAAACAATAGGTTAAATATTCATCTGTGTTGAGTTATACATTTGTAGGCATTAGTTGCTCTGAGCATAAAGGTCTAAGTGTCATCACAACTATTATCTTAACCATATTTTGCGCCACGCTCTAGCCTCAAGAAGTAAATCAGCACAATCATTTTTGAGAAATCGTGCTAGTAATTCCCAAACTGAAACAAAACATCGGAAACGAACTTCTTATGGCGAAAGTACGATTACACCATTACACAGAATGACAAAATGACAGCATAATTTTGTAAGGGTACCATGTAAACATTCCAAATCAGGCAACCGCATTGCATTGTTCAACTCCGTTTTTGTTCAGCAAGGTTTACAGAGAACAATAAGGTATGAACTAAGATGTTTATCTGCTTTTAATATAAAGAAAGGTATATTGCCATTATTTCGTTCCTATCATTCGTTTTAATTCCCCTATCGTTGACTTGCCTACCATTATTTTTAGTTCATTTTGTTGGTTCTCATTTGTAACATAATCTAATGGAGTATCGTAAGCTGAAGCAGTCATTTCTTTTGCGAAGTTCTACTTCAATACCATCTGTTGGTCATTCTGAAGTCAATAATGGTCAATAAAACTACAAGCATCTTTGGTGTAGACTAAGTAGAAGAATCACCATTCAATAGCAGTGAAAACTAGGCAGTACTAAAGATCTGTTTTGCCCTATTTTACAAAGCTCATCTGTGGCTCCACTGGAGATCGAAGCTAGGACCTCCAGTATCCGAGGTCAGCCTATTTAACATTCATCCATTCGGGCGCAAGTATTTGTCCTCACATCTGACTTGGTGGACTCCATCATTCAAGGATCTGATTTTCAGTAGATGCGTACTACTGATGACCCCCAAACTAGGAGAAAACTGCAAACTCAAAAGAACATTCCATTAGTTAACATAATAATATCGTGTTTTCATCCTATATCACTGGTCAGAGTGATGAATTTACACCTTACACTTGCCAATCACTTGATTTCTTGGTTATGAAGTTCAGAAACTGTTTACACGTAGACATTAATTTAGTTAAATTCACATTTTTCAACAGATTAGGCATTATTTGTTAGCCATCCTCAGGATTTATATTCATTTCTAAAATTGTCTGTCATAATAATAATAATAATAATAATAATAATAATAATGGCTTCTACACATGGTCTTATCGCAAAAACGTCAAAGACAAGGTTTTAGAAACTTCAGTACACATTTATCACTTCACCTGCTCCTGTGTATCTAATTACACTGGCCGTATCATCAGGATATTGTCAAGATGTCAGCATGAATACTTGCCAGCACGGTCGTCAAAATGAGAATGCAGAACTGTCAATAGCTCAATTCTGGAGTATATTATTACTTCTGGTCATGCAGCATCACCACAGACTTCCTTCAAAGTCATTAATAGAGTATGAACAAGTCGTTCAAAAGGATTTCGCCTCAATCTTCATTAATGCAGTTTTAGCCTTAGCAATCCGTGAGCAGAAACCTGAACTTTGTTTTCAGAAACCTTTAATCCTGCTTCGTTTACTACCATGGCCTTAATAATGTTTATTCTTTTTTCTTCTTTGTCTTTATGAATAACTGCATAATAAGCTCTGTGTACTCCGCTTTATGTTTTTCGCAACTGATTTCCAACTTTATGTTCTCTTGTCACACAACAACCATTTTCAAACGATTATCCACCAGTCAACGACTTAGTTGTCAGCCTTTTTGACAACGTAAGCCTATTGAGAATTTTTCAGACATAGTTATTACTCACCCACTTCAATTTGCTTTAATATCAACTGACAATAAACGTTGACCTCTGTTGTTTATCAATACTGTACACATAAATACCCCAAATAACATACACCTTTGGAGTGAAGTTACGAAAAAGGATCTCTTTACTGACTCATGTGCTCTTAAAAATTAAAAAAATTAGTTTCATAATAAAAAGCCATTGACTGGCAGATTTCTTATCGTTAAGTGAGTAAATATGTAGTATGATTCAGCATTTTTGAGAATTTAGATTATCAGTGCTAAAGAATACAAGAACTGCCAGCTATAAAAACATTTATAAAAGAAAAGCCGTTCAGCAAAGAGTTACTCTTTTGGGTGCCCCAATATGCCAAACTAAACCTGATTTATTCACTGAGCCATGGAATCCGCAGCATTTATATCCCTGATACTATGGAAAAAGAGCTAAGCACTCTGAAGAGAATCTTCTTGGGAAATGGCTGCCTAGGACTTTTCATCACAAAATCTATGAACCAGCAAAACCTCCCACACTTTCTGCCTCCAAAACACTTCTCTATCTGAATCTACAATTCAGTGACGACTCATCAATAGAAACACAGAGAAACCACCCGTTCCACTGATTGAAGAAAACCTTCTTCGCTGCTGAACTCCGACTAACTTTCTCTACGAAACCAGTGATTCACCTGAACGTGAAGCATAAGCGGCCATTAGCTGGCCTCATCAGTATGCATCTACCAATTCACCTGCTCTTGCAGAGCAAGGTATATCAGTCATAGCCTTTGTCTGCCATACAAACCTATCACCGAACACTTACCCTCATGGTTTTATAAAGGAGAACAAAGGTCCTCTAGAAGCAGTATTCTGGAACACCTGATAGAATTAGGACACCACGTGAACTCACAAAACAACTTCAAAGTTATCTAATGAACACGTGGGATTATTGCTAAAAGAGCACGAATCAAACTTCTTCAAACCACAGAAGTAATGGCAATTCACATGTTAAATCCTGAATCCTTAATACAGAAAAAGTTTGTTCAGTCATTATTTCTACAGTGGACCTGACCTATCTTAACACCAAATACGTCATTTTTGTTCTGTCTATTTTTTGTTTGTTTGTTTCTTAATTGTATTATTTTCTTCCCCCACCTCTTATTAAATCTCTCCCCTTTATTACCACTGTTGTTAACTTGACTTGTTCAATTTTAATTTTAGTGGAGCTCCACTCAACTCCGTCAATTAGATTACGTTACTTAACTTGCTTTTTTAATCTTATTTTAGTTTCCCACCCATTAACGAAATTTTGTTATCCAAAAATTTGCAATTCTAAAGACATCCTTGGAAATATTCCTTTTGTTGCTAAGTCAATTTAGTATATACGATTATACAGCTTGTGAATGATTTCGCCGAAAAGAGTAAGTCTTTGCTGAACGCCTTTTCTCTTAAAAAATAAACATATATAGCCATGGGTCGTAAGTTGAAAAATGTTTTACCATTAGCCCACTGTCGGAATCTCTTCTACGACTAAATAGTGATGTATAATCCGTCTTAAATTCTCCTGGTGGTCCAGGTAAACCCTTTTGTAAGACAAAAGAAAACAAACAAAAATTTATCAAACCATCAGTAATATAGTGGGAATCAAACAATTACTTGACCCAATAGAAGAATAAAGTAAAAAGAATACAGATTAAAAATATTCACTATACAAATGATAATAGCCTATACATGAAGGTGAGAATGTGGTCAAGTTGCAGATGACAAACTACAGGGAAGATAACGTATACTACCGATTGATAATGAGTAATAGGTGGCTATTGTTGTCAAGCGGTGGGGCTTACTGAACAGATCGATTCTACCTCATCAAAAAATGTTGACTAAAATTTTATTACGATCAGAATAATCCTATTAAACAGTTTAATCTGCATCGTGTTTCTGCCCTATTTATATGCATATATACGTAAATACGTGAACTAAACTTTGAATATGATTGTTTCAGTGCTTGTTTCCAATCTTATGACACCTTCAGACTGTCATCATAATACGAAAGTAGAGTTCTCTAATCAGTCTCTTTTAATCACAGTTGCTGTAGTATAATGCTTTCCTCTTACCTAGTCAGTAGATATGTTAAGAAACACAATAATTCTAAAATATAATTCCATTTATGTTTGAAGTATTCAATGAACACCTTTTTGAAAAAAAGTAGACTTATTCCTTTGCTTTCTTATGTATATTGAATGAAATATCAAACACTAATTATAAATACAGTAAAATGCATTAGTGTACTATGGTGTTGACTTACAGGTGCTCCTGGTGGACCATCAATTCCTGGAGGACCGGGTTCACCCGGTGGACCTTGAATTCCTGGTGGCCCCTGTGCAAATATTTTAGAAATGGGATAACTAGAGTTAATAAGCGTTTAAATTAATTATGCAAACAGTAATTAGAATATGTTTTGAACTTAGGCACTTTGGTAAAATGTAACTCCATATTAGATAAGTTTATTTTAATGATCACACAGTGCCTGAATTGCTTGAATATTAGCACTTTGGTGACGCTTCGAGCTTAAATAATTTCTCATAATCATATCAGTTTAGTCAGACGTTTTCACCATTCGTCTTATATATATTTTCTCTCTTTCTGTCTCTCCAACTTCCCTTTGTTGTTTGTTGCCACTTTCCATATCTCCAGAATGGGAGTTGCGTCATTCCGATTATACGTGTGCGGTGTTGAATTGATAAACAGGGCTTCAGTGATTAACCTCTCTCTTCATCTAACTATATTACTTTTAAATACTTTCACCCTGTCCCGCAATATCGTTGTGCGATTACATTCAAATGAATGCAATGCAATGACTGAGCTTTCTTTTCTAGGTTTTTGAACTTAGTGGGGTCAATCATTCTAGGTCTAAACAAATTTCTATATCCCAATAATCTAACTGACCCCGATCTACTAGTTTGAGTTATGTAATTGACCTGACAAACAGTCATTAAATGATATTTGGTAAATTATATTATTTTTTTTTAATTTGGATCTACTGGGTCCTTAAGCCGACAATTAGAATAATTAGCGTATCTGGACAAATACAATAAATATGTAGAACAACATATTATATATTTAATATTGACAGAAAAATAGTTATAGAGTATGTCGTTTGATAGATGTAGGTTCTTATCCTTTTTGACATACAAAACATTAACTCTTAGGAGAAGAAAACTGACTGCCAAGTTTGAAACAATGTTCAAAGGTTTATTAATCAAAAGTGTGTTGAATAGCATTTTAAAACAATATTGCATAAACTAAAGTTTCAGTTATCACCTTTGTTTAGTTGAAAAAAATGATAAATATAAATCAGTTATTTCTATGGGAATTTATTTGAAATGAACTGTGAACTACAATTAATGCATGAAGCCTTATTATAATTCCAGGTTAACCAAACCTGCACACGAGGAAACGGAATTTAGATCTAAGACATACTTAACTGAAAGTCAAGTGCCTAAGGCGCTTATATATTTGGTTGTTGCACTAAGTTACTTGGCATTAGTTGAAAGTGTTCAGTTTAAAGGAAAACAGTTCATAGTTTAATGACAAAATGGTGTTACTGTGACTGTTGATTTCCTTAAATTTACCTTACTTCTTTTAAATTGGAATACTTTCCGTTTTCGATAGGTAAAACACTTTCATTCACAATTTAAGCTTCCTTGCTGATTATTGTCATTGTTTCTTTTAGACACCAATAAGAAGTTCCTAGGGGAACATACTTCAAAGCAAATTTTGCTATGGATCGATATCTCCTAGAGAGCCATTAATTACAAAAAAGAGTATAAAAGGTCAATTTAATCTTAATTTACTACTCTACAATATTTAAGATTAAATGGAGTTTGTAGAGGTCGGCAAGTATCAAATAACTGATTGAATAATGAGGTGATCACCTCGACACCTGATATTCCCGAGTGCGATACAACGTGATAGTTTTCTGGTTTTGGTTTATCATTAATGGTAGCGTATTTCTTCAAGGAATTTTCGAATGCTCAGATGACTTTTTATTTATTCATAAATTGCGCGATACAAGCTAACTTGAATGTGGAGCACCTTAATTATTTTCACACTGTCCTGTACCAAACTCAGATTGTTCAACTTCATGGTTTCCTTGATATTTATTAGGTTTAACGAGATCAAAAAAATCACTTAGAGAAATCTAGCTAGTCAGTCTACCTTCTCGTGGCAATATCAGAGTAATTATATACCTTCTTGACTGTATTTAGTTATATTATTTTCCACTTTTCACTTTATTAGCAATAAAATCTACCACATTACTCATCAGAACTTCATCTGTTTCATCTTCTTGTGCCATTGTGTTATTATGTAAGCATCTCAATAGATGAGTTTTGTTTTAAGTTAGTGATTATGCGAAGTCTAAAATTTCAGGCTTAGCTAAATCTTCATATGTTTATATATAAATATATATATACAGGAGACGTAGATGAACTGTGAGTGATAATAACTTTCAAATGTGGTGTATAATCTTTGAAGGCTATGCTGGGGTCAATGCTATGTAGTGTAACCATCAAGTACCAAATTTTTAATTCATCTGGTCAAGCTAGTAAATGTCCTTGAATCAATTGACAAGCCTGCCTAATTGTACGCCCTACATAACTTGAACAGTTGAAACGGTATATACAAGACGTCTTTCGGTTTCAGGTTGAATATTGGACGGCTACTAAAGGATAGGAACTCTTGTTCACGTGACAATCATTCAAAGTGATACGGTAGTTTTGGGTATATATCTAATAGGGTCAATAGAATCCTCAAATAGGAATGCGCACCACCTCTGGTGAACTTTTTATCATGTAAATAACTTGAATGAAACTGTGTTATCAGAGTATCCAAGTTTTAATTTGCTTACATTTGATTTTCTTTATAAGAATAAAAGATTTACTTCGTGTTCCAACTTCTAGTATTTTTATCAGCTGTCAAGGTTAATGTGTTAATAAATAAACATGTTCAGACACATTCTACTACTTACCATTGGTCCAGGTTGTCCAATTGATCCTGGAATTCCTGGAAGACCTGTTTCACCTTTTAAACCAATTTCACCCTTAAAAAAGAGAGAAAATTGTGCAAAACGTATTTGGAAAGAAAATAATTCTTTGCATTTCAATTTGTTCTGAATTTGATTCTTATAAATAACGTTAGATTTTAAGAGGTTTATTTGTCAACCACTGACGAAGATGCTAATGATGTCGTCAAACTAAGGGCCTTAATTAAACAAAATACTTCCCGAAATCTCATTATAAAATTTCTAGGTTTACAACACTAATGAACTACTAATCATTATTTATACAACTTATCTAATCTAGTCATTAGGATGTTAAAACTAGCAAGTATGAATTTTTTCAATATATAGGAATTATTTGGTTGGAGGATGTCATCATGAGCTGACATCAGTTAGAGAACCATTGGGTGGATACGTATTGATAGGAGTCCCAGAATAGGACGAAAGAGCTGTCCAGTACTCCCACGTTTTTCAATGGTTCTCTAAATGATGTCAGCTCTTGATGAAATCCTTTAACCAATTAAAAAGATTCCTTACAAAACCAATATAACAATTATATTTGTAAAATCTCAACGAAATTGAATTGAATAATTCCAACATTTCTTTCGACAAAGTGGTTCTAATTTCTTCAAGGAAATTAATCGAAATTAACAAAACAGCGGTGTATAGGTAAAAAAGGACATCTCTTGTTTTTAAAAACTTTGTTCAGTTATATGGGTCATGAAACAGGCATTAAAATATTATAAACAAACAAAATTACATGAACTGTGATCAAAATTCGACCTCAGTCTACTTTTGTTAAACATTGTAAGCTGTGTACTTTTTTACCAGAATTTTAGTAATTACGTTCGACTAAAGTTCATGGTCTGAGAATACTGAATATGAAAGTATTTGTGTATATGCGGTATACAATGGCCTGTGCGTGTATGGGAAAGAAATTGTAAACCACTTGTTATCCTCTCCATAAGAAGATATAGACAATCGGGAATTTAGATCACGTATGATTGATTAGTGATACATATGCATTTTTATCTATTAATCAGGACTTGCCATGCATCAGCTCACATCACACCTTCACATCTGTTCAAACCGTTGGGATTCACCCATATTTGAAAAGCTTCTGCAGTCAGTCTTTCTTTATACGAACCAAAACTTACCTGTAGAACCTTAGTCCCATCAGAGTTGATCTTGTGTCCCGTTTTTATCGAGCGCATCGCGATCACCGATCTAGCTTCTTCAAGTCTGCAGAAGTCTTTGGAACCATCTTTAGACATTGTTTATGCTCCTTCACTCTTAAATTTACCTGTCTGGGGATTTCTCTTACATATACGGCGTCACAATCCCAACAGTTGATCTGGTACACAAAATTATGTTGGTTGTCTTCTTTTATTTTTTCATTAACCTTCACTAGTGATGAACATATGGTGTTAGTTGAGTGAAAATACACTCTTATGTCATGACTGTTAAGGATTAGCTTTATCTCATTTGATGTTTCTTTGCGTTAAGGAATCACCACCGTACTAAACAAAGTCTTAGCAACAGGTTTCGATCCATACTTATCTCCACATTTTAAATATCTTTTTTATAAAAACTCTGGGGCAATTACTTGATTCAAGAGTGGATTTTAGTTCCTGCTGATCTCTTCCTCCTCAGTAACTAGACGTTTAGCTCTGTTAATCAGACTCTTGGCCACAGTTACTTTAGTGGTAAAGAGGTGTGCTGAATAGTAGTCTAGGTATCTGTCCGAATTTGTTGGCTTTCTGAAAATGTTTATTTTAAATTTACCATCTGGTTGCTTTTTTACTAAATAGTCCAAGAAAGCCAAATCATTTTCTTAGGATTCAACCTCTTTGGAAAACTTAGTGGTTTCTGACATATTGTTTATTAAATGGGAAATTTCATTCAACATACTGCCTTCGGTTATGATGAAGGTATCATCCACGTATCTTAACAGCATTCTTGGAGCAGCATCTCATAGTGCATAACCATATTGGTGACTAGCGGAGACACTGGTGACCCCATAGCAGTGCCTTGTGTTTGACGGTAAAGGACCCCTCTAAATGTAAATAACGTGGAGTGTAGACACAGTTTCAGTACCTTCATAATTTCATATGGGTTTAAAGGACAACGAGCACTGAGTCCCTGGTATGACTAATTATCGAAATTCTGAGTTTTACGAATAAACAGTTTAGCCGCTATGGCTTGGGTGCTTCATTAGATTGGAATTTCAATGTCATTCTTGTTTAGTATTTATCAAGAAAGTTTTCATCCAAAAGATAATACCCTCGGGAAGTCGCGTTTTTCCATTAAAACTCCTTGTCTTAAAAATTTTGGAGAATAAACCAACAGGACATCCTGCTTCACCTTGTTTGTACTCTCCAGCAGAAAGCATATGCATTCTTGGAGAAATACAGCTTCTCCATGTGATTTGTAACTGCTTCATAACATTTAAAGTTAGCTATGACAATCTTTGAACTTGTTAAATCTTCATTCTACTTTGATTGGACACTGGTTAGTAACCTACTAATTAATTAGTGTCCAATTAAAGTATCCAATACAGTCCCACAGAAGGTCAATTGCGAGCCCAAATAGCTTATTGGTAACGTCTCTGACTGCAGCACTAGGTGACGCAGGTTCGAATCTCAGAAGGGACATGAGTTCCTCCAAGTTTGCAGACACGCCTTGCTGACGAGTGCCAACTGGCACGAAACTAAGGTCCAAGGCTTCCTTCCAATTGCCTCCAACCATCTAATATCAGTCTTCATTCTGTTAATTGGAATTCTCATTTAGTGACAAAAATTGATGAAATAACTGCAATACCACTTACACTTTGGTGATTAAATTGAGTCTACGGTTTACTGCAATAAAAAAAGCAGAAATAATGGAGTCATTTGGCTGACCTAACATCCTTAGGTCTTCTTTCAACACTTTGCGTTTGGAGTGGAAAAAAATAGAGCTTCAAGTTTTGGAGTACCAATGTGTTTGGTGGTGCTTTTTATAGGATATAGTTGGTAGTATTAAACTCAGCCATGGCCCTTTCCTGGATTTACTACCGCCTAGTGAAGTGAGCGACCTTCAAGAGTGAATTGGCCGAAATTCGACCCCTGACCGTGAGAGTGGTTGGCGAGAATTTTATCAGTGAACCACCGAAGAACATTCCTGGGTAACTATATTCAAATACAATACTGGGAAGTTTGATCCTGAAGACTGAAAAGTTATTTGATTATCTTTAATCAAATAGTGTGTCCTTCTTATTGATTCGCATCTACTTACGTCATTATGTGTCTCAGTGACCATGCCAGTAGGAAAATGATTGGGAGTATATTTGGGGGCACAATGGAGTCCTAAAATTTGGCCACAGAGGTGCAGCAAATTCATTCCAAACAAAGGATATTACTAGATTTCACTTCTGCTATATTCAAAATTGTTAAAATTTAGCTTAAATAATATTTTATTTGAGTAATTGTCATTAGTAAACAATAAATAAGTTGATATTCAAATATTCGGACTAATTTAAATCTTTATATTTAATAAATATTGTCTTGTCAGTCTTGTCTGCTACTTATCGAGTTACCAGTTGCCTAACTTTATTCTACAAAAGTGCTGATGCGAAAACATCAGCGGTTTGTAAATCTGTAAACTTGTCTTTTAGGAAATTCCACTGCTATATATTCATTTCAATGCTCTTAAACATGATATAATTTCTTATATGAACTAATATCCCTCTAGGGAAGACTGCGACCAATGAGCTTTTAGTGAAATGTGTAATTATTTGAAGGCGTTCAGTTGAACAGCTCAATACCACAACGTCCTAGTGATTATTCTGTCAGGGGCTCACTTGGTGAAATATTTCATTTCTCATCAGAAATAAACAACCAAGTGGAAAGTTTTCGGACCATAAAATAAATCTGAGACCTTTATAACGCGTATATCCCAAAGAACACAAGTGAATTGTTATAAACTATGGTACTATAACAAGGCCTCTGGATACCAAAGACACTTCTTGTAACTAGGAATGCTGTCTTACATGCAAGTAGAGTTTCGTTTTAGGGAATCTGTGACATTTCAAGAATGAAAACCATAAATAATACTAGTGCATTGTCATAATTTTAAGGAACAATTTTCATTAAGTATTGAATGTAATTTTAAAATGAAAGCATATACAGTAAATTAAGAATTGCCAAAATATTTTAGAGCAGAAGTCTGCAACTCACCACTGGTCCTTGAGGTCCTCGAGAGCCTGGGCTTCCTGGAAGTCCCGGAGGGCCACCATCACCAGGTGGGCCTGTAAGACCCATGTTTCCAGCTGCACCTCTTGATCCAGGTTCCCCCTCATCACCAACTGGTCCCTTGCTGCCAGGAGCTCCGGGTCCACCTATATCACCTGGAGGACCACGTTTCCCCTGGAATCCATCTGGACCTGGTTTACCAGGTCTCCCTTGACTTCCTTGTTTCCCAGGTGGTCCAGGCTGTCCAATAAGTCCAGGTGGTCCTCTGATGCCACTTGGGCCAATAGGTCCTCTACTTCCTGGAGGACCCTTGACACCTGAAGATCCAGGCGGACCTTGCATGCCTGGATTGCCTTCTGGTCCCCGAGGACCCTCTTCACCACGTGGACCTTGTTTCCCCATCTGACCATCTTTACCAGGAGGTCCAGGTAACCCTGTTCTCCCAGGTAAACCAGCATTTCCTGGTGACCCCTTGTTAACAAAATAAAAATTAGCAGTTTAGAAAGTTTAATTTACTTCAGTAAACGTCATAAAACATTTAGAATTTAGTCAGATAGTTTAATATTCAAAAAAACGAATAACATCTTCAAATGACAATGGATATTTAAGGATTTAAAGAGCAATATTCTGAAGAACAACTATCTCATAAATGACAGGGTTCTCTGTAATCATAAACTGAACATTTTATAACCACAACACTAAGGTGTATGATTCTCAATAAAAAAAGGATAATTCAAACAGTCGGAGTTGTTTCTAGCAAGGATAAAAGTAAACTAAACATACCTGCTTCACGGTGTTTAGTCATTTAATGAATTATCACAATTCCAAAAATCAGCGCGGTTGGATGTAAATTAAACAAAGAGCTAAGAGAAGACTTTTAAGCATCCTATATCCTTTTGACAAGCATTAAGGTGTACAAAACATGGTTAGCTCCTAATGATGAATCTAAATATCAATCGTCATACTAGTAAGCAGTTGTAGACTAAATAGCTTAGTGACAATATATTTTACCGAAGCACTGGGTGACGCAAAGCACATAAATTCCATCGGTATTCTAGACATGCCTCATTGAGTACGAAACCTAGTCCGTCAAGATAGAAAAGCTAGATCTCAATATACAGAAAAAGTTTGTTAACCCCCCCCCCCCACCCCCAACTCTCATGGTCTTAATCCGTCTATGCTAAAGTGTAGTAATCCAAACTCATACTTTGGCTGTACTCATTTTTTGTTTTGTATCGAGTGTCTCTATGGTTATTCTCAATTCGAAATGATTCTGATATTATTTCACTTGTCATTCCAAATCAAGAAGTATTTTTTGAATGTTAAATTCTATGTCATCAAATTTCACATCGTTCCACGTAATGTTTTCATTCGCCGCTTACTAACTCTTTAATTTTGCACCCGCTTCCAGCGTCTATGCATCCCCTGAACTATTCTATATATGGCATTAATAGTTTTGCCAATTGACACCTAACTGTGATTATAATCACAAACATTTTAAATGCATTTCATACTATGGTTAATACTGTGTATTCATACCTTTCTTCTTAAAAAGCATATTTATGTGCGATTGTAAAGTTTGATAATTAGTTCACTGAAAAGAGCGTCTTCATTGAATCACTTGTTTTGATTTTCTAAATGTTCCAATGGGAATTTTCTGAGAATTACATCTATTTATCAATGAATTCTTTCCATATGAATGAACCATGTTGCATTTTCTACTACTTGTATTATAGAAGTGTGAAACTGCGTTTTTATACAAACATCTATTTCAAGTGACAAATTACTGATGTGTATTTTAGTTAAATAACTATTACTTCTAAATGTTAAGAGATTCGAGAATACTTCATAGGAAATAAACCATTATAGTATGGCTACGATACGATATCCTAAGCATAGCGAACTGATTTATCAAACATCAATTCAAACTCAATGTTTCCCCTCCCCTACCTCTACCTTTAGCACATGATATCAAGGAAAGGTATTTCACTAGTCAATTTTCCGAAACTGTTCGAGAATTTTATTCTCGGATGAAATCTCTTATATTTCATTATTAACTTATCTTCCTTATCTGCACAACATAACATAAAAGTACCATATATATATATATATATATATATATATATATATATATATATATATGTATATATATATATATAAAGGAAGCAGTAAGCGTCTGCTTTTAACCCTCCGGAACGTTTTAAATCTGCGAATAATAGTAATAATTTTATTTCCATCACAGTCCTTCCAAATAAAGAAATTAAAGGACAAAGATCTTTCATTACTTGTAAATCTTACCATTTCACCTGGTTTACCAATATTACCAGGTGGTCCAGCTGGTCCAGTTTTCCCAGGGGCTCCACTAGGCCCTTGATCACCATCAGGTCCGATTGGTCCGACTGTACCCTAAGCGAAAGAAAACGACACATTATTGATTGCAATAATTTATTTCAAACTTCAAACCTAATCACTGCGTAAAGGAAAAATAAACGGAGGAGCAGAGATTTACGCGAACGTACATGTCACATGTTTTATCTATAGAAAGTTTCATAAATATGTTTTGAAAACGATTTGGTTAGCAACACCTAAAAAACAACCCTTATTGTAGCGTTTCTAGGATCATGCAATGACATAAGCAATTTATTATTAATATATATTTCACACGAAACTATGAATTGGTTAAATTTTTATGACGTATTTGTTCTCACAGCTTCAGAGTTCTTGTCAGTGTATTACAGCAAATGTCATTTCATAGTCATGTTCAGGCTTCAGACTTCAAATTTAGAGATATAAAATTGTATTTTCATTATTTTCCGCTGTTATATAGGGCTTATTGCATGGTGAATTCTTCACTTTTACTTATATTGAAAGGGTGCTTACTTAAATTGAGAGTATTAGGCCAATGCCTTATCATCGCTCCTGAAAACCGACTGACAGTTTAGTTTTGTATAATACGAAAAATCCAATATTTGTGACCTTAAAATATTTTCTTTTCTAAAAAGGACCTATAGATTTTAAAATGAGGCAGCATATTATATGTATCATCTCCTTTAGCTTACAATCATCCTGACGTTTTGACGAGTTGATTAAAATACTGAAACTTAGGCTGCATAAGTTTGTCTTTTTTCAATGACTAAAGTGTTTAATGACACATTGCACTATATTATCTTCAAACGTCATCTTCTATTATCCACGCTTATCTCTTTTGAGAAGCTTCTACATACAAAGAGAGTATGATAGATGATTACTTTTCCCTTGTGTTTGAATAATTTACAGTAGTCTTACAGCTATGCGAATTTCATCTTTTCATGAGTGAAACTTTCTCATATCGACCTTGGCGTTATATCCTTTGAACGAATTCAAAGGTGAAATATTATTCATGAATAGGTAACTTCTGCTATGGAGCATGTTGCTGACAAGAATTTGTAAGTGGCCCACTATGTGAGGATTTCTCTAAAAACCTGAAATAGATGAACAGCAAATGATGTTGCAGACGTGAGAAATGGAGAAAACTGATAATGACTGCAGAAGGCTTGAACTTAAGAGAAATTAAGTATCAGTGATGTAAGAAGTAGAACACAAACTGTTTTTTATAATTTGTCACAACTATTCAATATTCACCCTACAAAAACTAAGTGGTGCAAACTGATAACAAATGGGGACTAATTAAAATGCCTTAATCTTACCGGTAATCCAGGATCACCACGTTCTCCTTTAGCACCTGCAGGACCTGGCAGACCTGGCATTCCGTCTGAACCGGCAGGTCCTTCAGGTCCTGGATCTCCTGCTTCACCTTTCGGTCCAGTCTGTCCGGCGGGCCCTGGGGGCCCTGGTCGACCGGTTTCTCCTGGTGGCCCTTGGGGACCTGGTTCTCCAAGAGGACCCTCTGGTCCTTGGTCACCTTGTACACCAGGTTGCCCTCTATCACCCTGATGACCTGGTAAGCCTGGTAACCCTTTAGGTCCAGGTGGCCCTTGAACTCCTTTTTGTCCCATATTTCCAGCTTCACCACGGGGTCCGCGGGGACCCATCTCCCCCTTCAAACCCTTCATTCCAACAGAGCCAGGCGGCCCTGGTGGTCCTGGAATGCCTACATCACCAGGAATGCCTTGTGGTCCCTGATCTCCAGGTGACCCTTTATCACCCTGATAGCCTCGGATTCCTTGTATTCCCTTATTGCCAGTACGACCTTGTGGTCCAGGGTGTCCCATTGGTCCATCTGCTCCTCTTTGTCCTGGAACGCCTATCGGTCCTGGCTCTCCTCGTGGCCCAGTGGGGCCCCTGTCACCCTTTTCGCCTCTTTCGCCTCGTATACCTGTATTGCCGGCTAGTCCAGGTACTCCAGTAGTTCCACTGTCTCCAGTTTCACCTTTTTCTCCTCTTTCACCCTTAGGGCCATCACGCCCAACTGGACCTGTAGCTCCTTTCTCTCCAGCTTTCCCAGGTGGCCCTGGTGGACCGATTTGACCAGGAGCTCCACGTTCTCCCTAAAAACAACAAAGCTATTTAAAATCTTCTTTTCTAAAGAATTTTTCAATGTTATTAATTATAATAACATATCAATAATTAAGATTAAAATGCGTAGTAATTCTTTTATTATATATTGTCATATTTATCATGAGTGTTCTGATTAATATTTGTAATCATTTTATTTATATAATATGTGGAACACTTTTTCAGGTAGTTACTTCAGCTACATTAATTTTATTTCTTCATGATCAACAAAGGGAGTCGTACGTGATTTCACTCTTAATTGTTTAGTAGATGATAGTGTCTTAGTAGCTACACCTATGTTTATGACGACGATGAAACTAAGTAAGACAGAAGGCACACTATCTTGTTTACTTACTAAAATAATAATAATGTAAAGACATGAACAATTCTTATTTAGCTCTACTCTTATTTGTTATGTTTATATTTGATTCAATGAGAAATAAAAAAATTGTTGTTTATATGAATGAGTGAAGTTTTCACACTGGAAGTGCATGATTGTATAGGCGTCTCAGTGTACCACAATGATCACTCAAACATTCAAACAAATATGCTTTTCTAACTATATGAACTTATTTAAAGTTCAAAGTGAATTCTGTAACAAACTGGTATCAGTTAGGGGAACATTCTTAGCATTGAGTGTCAATGATTGCACCAGGGTTCGAATGTCAGTCGCGTACGGCTGGAATTTCATTTTCGTATGCAAACACATAATGAGACGGTTACGATTAAACACAGATATGCTTTGAACCAGCGTCAGCAATAAATCAGCTTCGAGTGGAAACTGTTCTTAAATTCTTAAGGTTTGCTGTTTAATAATGCACATTGATATCTTGAAAGTTAAGCACCCCACTTCATAAAGCAGTTTGTCTTGTCTACTGCTACAGTGGTATTCACATCAGAGTCATTATGTTTTACGGTAGCATCACTTTTAATTATTCTCGGGGTTATAATTTTAGAAAGAAACCCAAATGATTAAATAATGCAAGACATCCAAACAAATAAATGGACCCTTGTTGTTATTGAAGAAAAAAGTGAACATGAGTCTTTATTGTTATTTAGAAGTAAAGAAACAGAATGTCTCGTCACCACACCGCTCTTTACACTTATTTTTGAATAACAGCTAACTTAGCTGTAACGGAATATTTGTTTTCAAAATCCCTTCTGAGCAATTTAATTACAATATTGATACTTATTTGGATGCTTTTCAAGTTTTCGTTTTTAAGGGATTTTGTTTGGTTCGTTGGGGGATTTCATCATGAGATGACTTCAGTTAGCTAACCAGTGGAAAACCAACTGGGAGTACTGGGAAGCTGTTTCGTCCTAGTCCGGGACTCATCATCAGTACGCATCCAATGGTGTTCAAACCCAGGACCTTCTGATTACAAGGCGAGCTCGTAGACCAATTAACTTTGTAATTATTGTCCGTTTTTCTCCTAGACTGTATATCATTGTTCTGACGTTTGCATGTCATGTTTTGAATTAATCTTCATTATTTATCTTTGTTCCTGTTTATTCTCTAATTTTAATGCTTCTCTTTGTGGTTGTGTGATAATATTGATAATGCGGTGTTTTTTGACTGAGATTCATTTGACTGAGTCAGGGTCATTCTGACCTTGGACTGTCTGCGAGAATTGTCTGTTGTGTAATTCTTGCGGACAGAGTTTTGATTCTAACTTGTTGGGAATATTCTTGTTGATTCTCAGGTATTTCTTACGGTTGATTTGGTTAAGTAACTTGCTGTACACTACTTATTTTGTACCTGAGGACTAATTTGATTTCTGTAGGTGTCTAATTGTATAATTGAGAAAATTTTGCTTTTGATATGTTATTATTGTTAATTTGTACCTCACATTTTATCGAAAATAACTATCCTTTTACTGACTTCGGGCCATTTTGTGACTGTGAGTAACCCATGGAAGTTGTGGTCATGTACACAGCAGAACGCAAAGATAGAGTTCCCGCGTTCAGACCGCAACACATAGGTTTTGATCATCACAATAGTATGCACCTTGATAGTAAAGAGTATGGATGTCATGAGTTTTATGCTGTATCCTACGAATGACACTATTATCAGTACCTAGATTCACGCAGATATAAAGATTTACATTATTCTGGAAAAATGGTTCCTGTACAAAGATGTCATCGAATAGTATTTCTCTTGCAATGCTAATCTGATTCCAAATATATACTTGTGCAACAATGCACAACATACTGAAAAAACCATTCTGTAAGCAATTAGGAATAAACAGCATCACGCTAGTCTGCATGTATTATACACCTAGTGTTAAAGTAAATTTCATATGGATCGCCATCGGTCAAACCCTGTTTCTCTCTATTTCTGGGCACTGGAATAAATGTGTCAGTTGTGTATCCATTTAAATCGATCAAAACACTATATGACATTGGGAAATATTTTCTTTACCACCGGAACTTCTTGACTTATACTGCTTCAACTAATGCTCAACATGGCATAACTTCAGCCCTAAATAAATCACTCTTTCTCTAATATTCATTCCTGAGTTGATTCAGAGCAACTCACAATTTGTGTGGCAATGTGAAAAAACCCGAGGAACCTTACCGGAAACGACATGCATTTTCTAGTTGTGAATAAAGATATACACCACTTACCGGAGGTCCAGGTGGACCAGTTTGTCCAGGCTCTCCAACTGGTCCAGGGTCACCTGGTTTTCCAGGTGTTCCTGGTGAACCCTCTGGGCCAACTCGACCTTCTGCTCCCATAGGACCACGTTTACCAGGTTGTCCTCTCTGGCCTTTTTCTCCGGATGGTCCAAATGGACCTGGAGGTCCGGGCTCACCACGTGACCCTCTGTCACCTCGAGGACCTCTTGATCCAACTGCTCCCGGGTCGCCAGTCTTGCCCATTGATCCAGGCAGACCACGTAGGCCTTGTCCTCCTTGCGGGCCTTGTGGGCCAGGAATCCCTGGTGATCCAGAAATACCAGGTCGACCAATGGTTCCAAGAGGACCCTATAAGGAGTATACAGTAGTTCGCTGTGAAACCAGGACTTAAAATTCAGGTATGGTCTATCTACAAGAGTAGTAAATAGATTTATTTTGTTGTATATCATATGAAGCTGTGCAGTTCACAGGTTCTACTGAAACAAGGTGTATAACTAAGACGTTTCATCAAAACAAATGGCAGTTCTTTTTAATGTTAACATCAAGTGTGTTTCTATAGAAAACTTCTGTCTTTTCACTGCTGACGGTAAATTAATACAAAAGATGAACATCCTGTTCCTTTTAACTGCTAATTCTTCTCAATGGATGGATTAAGCACTGATGGCTGTTGATTATGAAGCTCTTCAAACGTTCATTCAGCTTGTTCTAAGAAAAACTGTCACTGTGTTGGCAAGTCTTTTCAAATGTGTATGCACAACTCTGGTCTATGTGAAGAAGTCGACAGTAAAATGCTGAAGATTATCTGTTGAGATGATATCTATCACTGGAAATTTAAAATGGGAAAAATCAAAAGAAACACAATATACAGAAACACTACAGTTTCCAACACATTAATCTGTCGAGATGCTTTCATGATGGTAGTACACGGTTACACCTCAGTTGCTGTGACATTATTAGATTACCGTTTCTTAAATTCTTTTTTATTAGGTTGGTATTTCAAATATCCACCAAATAAGGTGTGATGAAGCACATTATCCTTCAGTTAACAAGTTTAAATATAATGACTTACACTTCTGCCTTCTGTTTATTCCTGATACAGAGAGAGAGCCACTTCTCTATTAGTGAGTTAATGCCTTCATACATGACCTAATAGATTTTTCAAGTCACGGTTTCTCAGCAGTCTCTTTAGAAACAAGTCACAAAATTAGTTGGTAGTATAAGGAAAGTAATTATTTGAAAAGAGAAGACATTCAGCGAAGAGACTCTTTTCGGCAAATTCATTCACATAGCTGTACAATCGCATTTATATATAATTATTTGTGTGTGTGTGTACATGAGGTTTGTCAAGTTTAGATAATTGATTAGTTAATACAAGCATGATGTAGTATAGAGACAAAGTTAATCAGACAGCAACTAAATGTTACAACTTAGGTCAGGATAGCAACAGAGGTAATTACAGGTAGAGACTAAGTAGAAGTGAAATTGAGTAAATAAGTTGGATGACGTAACATAAATGATTTATTTATTTATTATATATATATATATTTATATATATATATATTTATATAACAAAGTGGTGATTAGGTAAATACACAAATACATAAACAAGTCTACTTTAATTAGACAATACTAATAATTACCAGGTTTTCAGTATATAACATAAATCCAAATTCTGTGTACAGTAAGAATGCTGTTCTGGAATTAGTTAGTAAATTGAATAACGAATTACCCTCTGCTTAAATTTTAATGACTAACATAATCAGGAATAATGCTGTTAGGAAATCTATTCTACACACACATCCCTCACTCCTTTTTGACTTACTACTGAATAAGTCATCGTGTGAAATGAGTGAAACTTGTACATACAAAAAAGGGAAAATTCAAAGAATTTCATCAGTCGCTTACCTTTGGACCAGGTTCACCAGTTGGCCCAGGTTGTCCACGATTTCCAACGGAACCCTAATAAAAAGAAACGAAAATAGTTATCATATTCATTTATGAGAAATATTAAGTTGAATCTTTTAATTTCACCATTTTGTTTGTCTTATGAAGTATTCATTCATTCAAACACATACTTGATACACTTTATGCGTCAATAAATGTATCACGCTAAAAATACTAGAACAATAAAAGGAGACATACTTAACAGATGTGCATCCCCCAGAAGTTCATTCAGTGATATTATTTTTCATAACAGAGGATACGAAAACGCCCCAGCGTGTGTGCTCTGAGTTATGTGAAAATGTCTTTAACCATTAATCTCTTGGGCTGCACTCACTGAGCGACAGACCACGAAATGTTAGTCTACAGTCAGGCATAAAACATCATCTCAGTGAATGATTTGAACGAAGCTAGAGTGAAGACATTCACAAGGCATATCCAAGCTATTGAAAGCAGAGTAACATAGTGGCATAATTAATATACCGTGCACTAAAAACTAATGTTTACTGCATATTAATTAGTTTATTTCTGTTGTAGACAGTTTTGATTTACTGAGATATTGTAATCTGCTTTACTATTTAAATTTTAATCAAGAAGCATAGTTCTCGCTCTGCTCTAGGATAAGGAAAATTTGTAGTTCTGATTCCGTTGACTCGGAACTTGACTTCTTAGAAGCCACCCTAGCAGAAAACGGTTACCCTAACCTTTTTATTGACAGCAACATGAAAGATAAGCAGTCTAAGCTGGTCACCGACACAGTTCCAATGAAAACCTTATTCATGAACTTGGAATTCAAGGGTGATCAAGCCTCAGATATGCTCAAAAATCGTCTCTCTAAATCAGTCAGTAAGACGTTCTATGCAGCAAAATTACATATGACGTTCACTAGCCACAAGTTGTTCTCTATCTCTGTAAAAGATAAGCTCCCCCATCTGGCCGCCTCCATGTGCATCTATCAGTTCACCTGCTCTTGTGGAGCAAGGTACATTGGCCGTAGTCAGAGGAAGCTTTCCACACGGATACGAGAACATATTCCAGCATGGTTTTACAAGGGAGAAAGGAAGTGTGTGCGAAGCTGCATTTTGGAACACCTGATCGACTTCTGTCACTCTGTCAACCCTGACCATGATTTTAAGATCATATATAGAATCCATGCTACCTTCCCGTGTTTTCTTCATTACAGACTTCTAAAGACAGCTGAGGCCTTGGCAATTCATGACTTTAAGCCAGACCTATGTGTACAAAAGAAGTATGTACAATCCCTACTTCTGCCTTGGCCGCAGAGGGATTTATTTATTTTATTTAGTTATTCTATATACTTTTCCCTTATTACTACGATTATTATTATTATTATTACCATTATTATTATTACTATTCTCACTCTGAATCTTTTTCAATTGGCCCACTTGACATTTTAAACCCAAAATTATTGACTTTTATACTTTTATTTTTCTATCTTATCAAATTTCACACCATGTTATGTAACATTTTATATTCGTCTACTAATCTTATAATTATGTGCGTCGGTGGCACAGTGGTTAGGACTCTTGGCGACCATGCACATGGTCCGGGGTTCGATCCCCTGCCGACGCACACCCGATATCTATGGTCGGCCTGTAAATTCGGGCTACCGATATCCATGCTGAAAATTCCGTACTTGTACTGAAAATACGGTGTGGAATCAAGCTGTAATCAAAAATATAAAAAATACCCCTTTCCAAAATTCTATACACCTTATGTATTATTCTATATACGACATTAATTATTTTGCCACTTGACATTAAACTATGATTATAATCACATATATTTTAATTGCATTTCATACTATTATTATTTCATGTATTCACACCTTTGACCTAATTCCCTCACTGGATATAATTTTTATAAAAAACCATATTTATATGATTGTACAGCTTGATAATAAATTCTTTGAAAAGAGTCTCTTCGCTGAATATTGTGTTCTTAATGCTACAATGGGAATTATTAAATTATTGAAAATTTATCTTAACCTGTTTTGTCTTCATACACTGATTCTGTAGATATAAACTGCCAACACACTGAGCGGATAACTATAACTAACTAATATCTTTAATTGTATATTTTATTGGATTTACATGCCCAAGTCAGTGAGTCTCTCATTTATGTGTTATATTTGGTAATTAAATTTGACAGTGATATTTTTTGCTACGGCTTTTTCTGTTGGAGTCATTGTCACTGCCTTTCCTGTTGTGATTTTTTTGTCCTTGTTCCACTTACTTCTTATTTACTTGGTTCTAAAGGGGGCAACCCGAGAAGTCACTACTCTGTTACTTACATTCCTATGTAAGAACTGACTCCTTGGGCGTGAGGTTAGCGACCCCACCCTGCAAACAAAACTTCTATAGAAGTTTCAGTACGATGAATCTCCTTGAAGCGAAAGAAAAAGTATGTGTGGGGACATGGAACGTCCACACTATGTTTGAGACTGGTAAAGAAACTCAGATTGCAAATGAGATGAAGAGATGTGGTATTGAATTCCAGGGAATATGCGGAAGCAGGTGGAATGGAAGTGGAATTTTCAAATTTTCAAGGGAAGTCAGTGATCTGCTCCGGTCACCCAGAAGACAACCATGAGACAACGAGGTCATGGCTATCATGATGCCGCCAACGGCTACGAAGGGCCCGATAAAATGGGAGGTGACCACGTACAGCATAATGACCGCCAGATTCAACTCAAAGGGAAGGAGAGTGACAGTTATACAATTCTATGCACCTACAAACAACGCAGACCTAGAAAAGAAAGAAAAGTTCTACAGATAACTACAGGCAACAATAGATACTACTGCAGTCTGCTACATTAAAATACTAAAGAGAAACATGAATGCCAAACTGGGACCAGACAACACAGGAAGAAAACTCATTATGGGTAGAGAAGCTCTTGGAGAGATGAATGAAAACGGAGAACTCTTCGTTGACATCTGCGCCTTCGATTAACTAGTGACTGGTGGCAGCGTATACGAGCACAAGAATATCCACAAGGCTACATGGTTGTCACCAGACAGGAGAACCAAATACAAAATTGACTTCATCTCAATGCTGCTCAAAGAAGTGGAGACGCAGCTGACTGGACACAAAAGTAAGAAGAGGAGTAGACGTCGGTTCAGACCACTATCTCGTGCAAGGAACACTCCAAATCAAATTAAAAGCTTTCAGAGAAACAGTAGCTGCAGATAGACCACACGACAAGTTCAATACTCAAAAACTGAAGGATCAGGCTACAAAGGACATCTTCACTAAAATCATAAGGAAAAAGGCGGAGACACAAATCATCAGTAGCGAAATGACCAGCGTTGAAAATCACTGAGACAACCTGAAAGCGGTGTGTATCCAAATCTGCATGGAGGCTCTAGGCGGAAAGAAGAGGCACGAAAAACATTTCCTCACTACAGACAAATGTAGACTAGTCAAAGAGAGGAGGATTGTGAAAGAAAAGATTATCCAATGCATCGACAAGCAAAGAAAACAGGAGTTGAATGAAAGCTACAATACACTGAACAAAAGAGTAATGAAAAGTGCTACGGAAGACAAAAGACAATTTTATGAAGCTATGGCAGGTGAAGCAGAACAAACTGCAGGTAAAGGAGACTTCGCAACACGGTACTAAACAACTAGCTTCCTATCGGGGAAGAGTTCAATACAAATTAAGCCAGTGGAGAATGACAGTGTAACGCTAATCACCAAAGAGGTGGAGCAAAGGAAACACTGGGCTGAACACTTCAAAAGACTTCTTAATCGACCGCCACCTACAACGCGCCCAATAATACCAACAGCGGAAGCAGAACTACCAGTGGACATCAACCCTCCGACGAGAGCAGAAATCCTGAAGGCAATCAAGATGCTAAAAACTGGAAAAGGAGCAGGACCAGACGGAATTCCAGCAGGGGCATTGAAAATGGACCCAGAGACATCAGCCGACTTGATGACACCACTATTAAAGAAGATGCAGAAAGAGGGCAAGGTACCTGCTGATTGGAGGAAAGACTACCTATACAAACTGCCAAAGAAAGTATACTTGAGTCAATGTAAGAATTGGTGCGGCATTATGCTCCTGTCTATCCCAAGCAAAATACTAAACCGCATCATCCTGGGGAGAATCAAACACACCCTGGATGAAAAACTTTGACCGGAACAAGCTGGATTCAGGAGAAACAAGTCATTCATAGATCAAACTGCAACACTACTTATCATCATTGAAAAGAGCTTGGAATGGCAGCCAGCTCTCTACTTCAACTTCATCTACTTTGAATAGGCCTTCGACAGCGTCGATCGGTAGGAGATTTGGAAAATACTTCGCTACTATGGTATGTCGGTGGCATAGTGGTTAGGACGCTCGCTGACCATGCACATGGTCCGGGGTTCGATCCCCGGCTGACGCACTCCTTTACCTCGCTGAGCCAGAAATAACGCTGGTGAAGAGGAAAGGTTAGGCATGAGGCTAGCAACCCCATCCTGTAAAATAAACACTCCTACAGAAACTTCAAGCCACTAGCTTGAAGCCCTATGTTCCACTGGGGAACGTGAAGGAAGTAAGAAAACTATGGGGTACCGCCAACAATTATATACCTCATCCAACAGTTGTACAATAATGCTGCATACCAAGTAATCCACAACGGGAAACTCAGGGAATCCTTCGAAGTAAAGACGGGAGTAAGACTAGTCTGCCTACTATCTCCAATGATTTTTTCTGATTGAGGTAGACTGAATAGTGCAACAGACAGCGGGCAACGAGAAGACAGGCATAAAATGGACCCACACAAGACACTTGGAGGATCTGGACTTCGCCGATGATATATGTCTGATTTCCCACAAACTGGAAGATATGCGAGTGAAAAGCAACAAACTGGCAGGAGAAACATCAAAGATAGGCCTACAGGTGAACATAGAGAAAACAGACGTGATTAAGATTCCTGACCAACAGACGACATTCAGCATAAATGGGAGAAATGTGAAAGAAACCACCACCTTCATCTACCGACCTGGGAAGCTTCGTTTCAAATACAGGTGGACGGAACTGACGTGGATATCAAAGCGAGGATCGGGAAAGCAAAGCAAGCTCTCATAACCCTCAAATCTGTGTGGAGATCAACAGCACTCAGCATGAAAAATAAGATCCGGGTTTTCAACTCTAATGTGAAGTCAGTGCTACTATACGGATCAGAGACTTGGCGCCGTGTCACGAAGGGCACTTCGAACAAACTACAGACCTTCATCAACATCTGTCTTCGCTTATTACTACTCAAGATCAGATTGCCAGAAAAGACCAGCGACAAAGATCTGTGTGAACGAACCAACCCAGCAGGAACCAACCATGCCAGAAGAAATGGAGGTGGATTGACCAAACTCTGAGAAAATCATCAAGTGACATCACACGCTTGAGTGAAATCCGAATGGGAAGAGGCGAGTTAGTTGGCAGTCAGTGCAAGGGTGACATGGAGGAGGTCGTGCGAAGAGAAGATGAAAGCATGTGGGCGGACGTGGAGCCTGATGGAATCGTTGGCGGAGAACTGAACGTAATGAAGACGAGCGGCTTCAGCCCTATGTTCTTCTAGGAACTAAAGTAGATAATAATAATATACACGGAATAAAGGCTTCACTGGATTACTTCAACTGATTATTGCTTTCTTACAGAATTATGGGTTATTTGTTTGTTTATCTTCATATATTTGATCTAAGGCTATATGGGAAGGGCTTTGAATTAGCTGACTGCTATTGATCAAATGAACAGTGACTGAAAGTGACATAAAATCTGGTTCACAACAGGATGCTAACTAGCACACTGAAAGCTTCCGGATTAGCTAGTCACTATTAGTATGTGGATACGTGTTCTTGATAGTTAATCAGTGAGAAAAAGTTTCAGTCACTTTTTTGTTATTTGTAAATATCTAGCCAGCATATTTGTCTATTTAGTCACAAAACACAGTATGAATGAAATAGCTATGAGGGTTTCAATGCTTAGTTTGAGAAATATTTTTTTCATGAAATGTATAGCAGCTTTTCAATGAATAAAAACTGAAACAGTAGAGTTGTTCATTGCCAGATGAGCTTATTATGGGATCTACAAGCAACTTGACAATACTCATATACTGTTAATTCGCATTTAATTTAAAGTGAGCTATCATGTCCTGCCAGCTAAGAACTATACAAATGTTTCAAAAAGAACAAAATTGACATGTAGTATATAAATACATAAAGCAACATGAACTTACACGAGGGCCTGTCGAACCTCTAAGTCCACTTGGTCCTATATCTCCCTGTGCTCCCTTCTCACCAATTGAACCGGTCAGGCCAGGAGCTCCCGCTGGCCCGATTGCACCTGGTGGACCTTCTGGTCCTGGAGGGCCGCGCAGACCAGGAAGACCTCTACTGCCTTCATGTCCCTGGGCACCAGGCGGCCCGGCAGAACCACGTATCCCTCTGCTTCCTTGCTCTCCTACCGGACCGGCTGGACCACGTTCACCGCGACGACCTTTTATACCTTCCGGACCAGGTAAGCCTTGAGAGCCTTGCAATCCTACTGAACCTTCTGGTCCTTTTGCACCAATGAGACCTACTTCTCCTTCTCCACCAGAAAAGCCCCTGATTCCCATCATACCAGGTTTTCCTGGGTGACCTCGATCTCCTGGTTCTCCTTTATTACCAATAGCTCCAGCGGGTCCATAGGCGCCTTGTTTTCCAGGATTTCCAGATGGTCCAGGTGCACCTCGATCTCCACGTGATCCCGGAAAACCAACTTCACCTTTTGGTCCAGGAAGACCAGGCTGGCCTTTTGGTCCTTCTGGGCCTTGCAATCCAGGAGCACCTTGGGGACCCGGTGCTCCAGGATCCCCAGGGGCTCCTGGGACACCATCTGTCCCATCAACTCCCTACAAAATAAGATAAAAGAGAAAAAAAGCTAAATGAGTATGTTTTATTTCGTATGACTGAAGAAAGTTGCGTTCACTAATGTAGTACAACAAGAAAATAAAAATTCTCTAACTTATTTTATGAAATACCTTATGATTAATAATTCATTAATTTGGATAGTAAAATAACTGCGAATTCCAAGATTTCAAAGTCAAAATCTTCTAATGATACTCTTAGTACATAAAGTGCTAAGTGGTTTTATTTGGTGACGAACTGGCTCATTTTTTTGTTGTCGAGTAAATTTAGAAGGCTGGTTAATAAATTCAGATATGTTATATGTCGTCATTATTCGACCACAACATTATATAAGATAGCAGTTCATTAAAACTCATCATACAACACTATTATACATTATGAATACTGCTGCCAAATGACTTTCCAAATTCTGTTAAATACAAATACAATGAGTTGCAAATGAATTGTAATTAACTGTTTTTCAGCTGCAATATTATGCAAATAACAGCATAGTATTTAATGCTTGTGACCTGAAATATTGATTCTACTGTTTCGGATATAAAATAACTGGACGAAAGATTTTGTAAAATAGAAAATTCCTTTGCATTTAGGATTAGCTATCAAAATTTGTATTCCAAAATTACAGAAATGCTGATTAACTGATGTAGTTACTTACCATAGGTCCTGACATACCCATAAATCCTCGGGGTCCTGGTTCACCACGCTGGCCTTGTAGGCCGATTGAACCTTTTGGTCCCACAGGCCCTGGAAGTCCCTTTGGACCATAATCACCTGCCATTCCCTTGATGCCTTCATCACCACGTTCTCCGTGTTCTCCACGCAAACCCATTGCTCCTGGAAGTCCAGCTTCACCCATGATTCCAGGTGTTCCACGTGGTCCTCTTGCACCTTTCAGTCCAGGTCTACCTACTGGTCCAGCCTTCCCATCATTTCCTGCAGGCCCCGGATGCCCTCTAGATCCAGGATTTCCTGAAGGCCCAGGATCTCCAATAACTCCACTTTGACCTATTGGCCCAGGTGCACCAATAACACCTGGAAATCCAGGTGGTCCTGGTTCACCGGGAGGCCCCTAGAAAGAAAATGTAAATTTTGTGCATTAATACATGATATATTACCCAAACTATTTTTTAATTTTTTTTTATTTTGATTTACAGCTTGATTCCACACCGTATTTTTTTTTTGTAAATTTTTTCAGTGTAAAGAAGTTCTAATTAAACTATGGTAACATTAGTAAGTGACGGATACTTTATTTCTGTCTTATGAGAACTCATGAATCAACAACTCAATAAATCAATCTAGACGAAGTTATTTAAATTTCTTCCCTCTAAACATGACATTTTCGTAAATTTGAAACCGCTAAGATACTTGAAGTAATTCCCACCAGTATTCAAAAACGTCTGACTGAAATTAGCAGGGGTAATACACTGCATTTGTGAGGCATTTTATCTGTACCAGAAATAGCAAGTTTGTTAGTGTTAGCATACAATACTTTCCTTTATCTCCTACGGTTATCATGATTTCACGTACATAAGATGGAATATAGTTCATACCATGGATTTTATTTATATTAATTAGTGAATTATAAGTAAAAAGCAGAAAATTTAAAATTTCTTTTTTACTTTCTTCTTCTTTGATCAGAAAGTGAGGGGTGAAATCTTATGAAGAATTAAATTTCTGCAGTGAACCTCATTTATAAGCAAAAGGTACAATTTACTTATGTTAATTCTGTGTAAAAATAAGGTTAAACAGATACTGTTTTAACTTCTCTCTGCATTTTAAATATAATTTTAAAGTCCATGTGAACTGTCACCAAGGTTTGACCAAATAAGAAGTTAATTGGTGGATGGTGATTGGCAGTGGAATCCAGGATACGCATTTCGTCCTATTTGGGACTCGTCATCCGTATGAACCTGCATTGCGCAGTGAGTGATGATGTTCACACGGAAGGTCGAACCCAGTGCCATAACGCCATCTACTAATTAACTCCTAATTACATGCCCAGACATCGTCGAAGCATCTGCACAAGAAGCCGACATGTCAACCTGAGACCGAGCAGTTCGGTCCAATCAATCGACGGAAGAATCTAAAATTAAATTCAATTTGACCGAATAGTTTGAAAATAATTGGGCACCGAATGAGAAGTAGACACCAGTGCAAATTATGTTTTTAAAATCTCAGCGAAATTGAAATGAGTAATTCCAACGTTTCCTGGATCCGGTGAACTGGTCCGAACTTCTTCAGGGAAATTAATGGAAATTAACATAACGAAGGTTTATATATAAAGGACATCTCTTGTTTTTAAAAGCTTTGTCCAATCATATGAGTCACGAAATAGTCATCAAAATCAAATTTTGTGTTCCTCGCACGCAATTTACGGATTTAGCCATCCATGCTGAGTTTGAAAACTTACATGGCCAACTCAAACCTCTCACCGCAACATCCGATGAAGATCGCGGTTGGTTTAAGGCCAAGACAGTGGATATAGCTCATCAGTTTTTTAATAACAACCCAAAGGAGAAAAGCATTTTAAATTCCCAGCATTTCAAAGCCTTGAAAGAGCTACGGGAAAATTCTAATATAATTATTACGAAACCTGATAAAGGTTCTGGAGTCCTCATTATGAATAAAATTGACCACAAATCTAGCCGTGATCCCTCCTCAGAAGATATTCAGTTGTCGCAGGGCACAGTGACAGCTAATCTAGTGAAGCTTCATGGCCTAAATGCTATAAGTAAAGATAAATTTGATGCTTTAAAACCATCAGATTGTAAATTCCCACATATGTATGGTTTGCCAAAAATACATAAACCCAATAATCCTCTACGTCCTATATTGTCAATGTGCAAATCCCCAACGCATAAACTTGCTAAATGGATAGTAGAATTATTGCTTCCAGTCAAAACACAATTCTGTAAGTATGTGTTAAAAGATACATTTGAATTGGTTGATTTTCTTGACGATATTAATATTTTGACTAAGAATATGCACTCTTTTGATGTAAACTCGCTATTCACTAATGAGCCTTTGCTCAAAACAGTTGACACTTCGTGTGATTACATTTCCACAAACAATTTTTTCATCCGGTTCCCTAATATATTAACTGATGACGTTTCGAGCACAAATTATTGCTCATAATCATATGATTATGATGATGGAGTTACACTCTACCACAGTGCCCAAGTTTTATACTTATATCAATGTTAGGATTACATTTGAAGGCGATTGTTTCCGCCAAGCTGATGGTGTTGTTATGAGAAGTCCGTTAGAGCCCCCTTTTAGCAGATATTTATATGTCATACATTGAGAATTAATCAGAGGATTTAATCGAAAATGTGCCACTTTATAGAAGGTATGTAGATGATATTGTAATCATCAGTGATAAGTCTTGTTCTGTCACCTCAATTTTAAATCGAATGAATGAAGTTCAGAATAGCATATCATTTACATCTGTGAAAAAGGAAGATAATTGTTTATCTTTCCTAGACATATTGCTTAGTCAACGGCTTGACGGGTCACTAAAACTATCTATTTATAGAAAACCTACCTGGACAGGACAGTATCTTAATTACCGCAGTTTCTAACCTGTTCGATACAAAAGAGCTTTAGTAAGGTGCCTCTTCAGTCGAATCCAACAAATATGTACTTAAGCCACAACTGATATGGAAGAAAGAAAGTTGACACAAACTGTGGTTGATAACAGTTAACCAGACAAGTTCATCAGGAGATATAAAGTAGTCAGAACACCAAGACCCAATCTCCAACTTGCCCCTAAGAAAGACGTGTACATCAAGCTACCCTATATGGGGCATCAAAGCAGCTTGATAACTAGGAAAAGACTGAACGCTGCTGTTAAAAAGACTTTTTATGTAGCTAAAATCATTATGTTTGAGAATGTTAAGCCAATATATCTATCTAAGCCCTTCGAACATGCGAGAAATGACGTCACATTCCACTGTATTTACCAATTTGAATGTACGTGTGGACACACATGCATAGGGAGGGCTCATCGATCTCTGTAAGTAAGGGCTTCAGAGCATATTCCTAAATGGCTCCAGAAACAAATGGAATCTTCAGAACCCATTAATGGTGAGAACAGGAGACCTAGCTCTTCTATTGCGAAACATATTATAGAGACAGGACATAAAATTGACGTTAACAGATCTTTTAAAGCTATCTACAAAACGTGTTTGGGGCGTATCCTTATGTTTGTGGAAGCCGTATCAATTAGAAAGTTTAAACCACCTTTATGCGTTCAAAAACAATTCGTCATCACATTAAACCTTCCTTGGTAAACTTTGTTTTGATACCATAGCAAATGTACTATTACTTCCACTATTTGGTCTAGTGGTCTTCATCGTAATTTGACCTTGAATATGTCCTATTAACTTGACCTAAGTCTATTTTCTCACCTCTTACCTCTATTAATTTTTTTTTATTTTTTTTTATTTTTTATTTACAGCTTGATTCCACACCGTATTTTCAGTACGGGTGTGGAATTTTCAGCATGGATATCGGTTAGCCCAAATTCAGGCATACCATAGATATCGGGTGTGCGCCGGCAGGGGATCGAACTCCGGACCATGTGCATGGTCGGCGAGAGTCCTAACCACTGTGCCACCGACGCACATATATATTCCTATGGCAAGTCTGTGTATGATCCGATTGCTCGAAATGTGTTGCGCAAATACATTACACGATTCAGACAAATTACGTCTTCTTATTGCTTTGTCGTAATTCATAAAGGGAACTAATTGTTTTAAAATATAATAAACAAAATTGTATGAGCTGTGATCATATGCAGTTATCTACAACCATGATCTTTTAGTCGAACATAATCACTAAAATTCTGATGAAAAGTACACTCTGTTTAAAGTGTTTAACAAAAGTAGACGAATATTTGTTAGTTTGAGGTCAAATTTTGGTCACCGCTAATACAATTTTGTTTGTTAAACATGTTGATACCTGTTTCATGACTCATATAATCGGACAAAGTTTTTAAAAACAAGAGATGTCCTTTATATATAAACCTTCGTTATGTTAATTTCCATTAATTTCCCTGAAGAAGTTCGGACCAGTTCACCGAATGCAGGAAACGTTGGAATTACTCATTTCAATTTCGCTGAGATTTTACAAATATTATTTTAAAGATTCACAAATAAGTATTAGAAGTATTTTTGTTTCATAAGACTCATCAGTGAAGGCCAATAAAGTTGGGAGAATATGTCAGCGATAAAATGAAACAAAAATAGTATACATACATATAAAACCTGCTAGCGTGTAATTCCATGTTACCTGATTTGTTGAATGCATCATTCAGTAGGACAGTATTATTCACTGGATGACATTTCAGGCAATCTAATTTTCAGTAATTTCCAAATTCCCATTTACACATTTAGAAAAAACAACATATTGAGAGAAGAAATTTATCCCCTGTCAATTAGTTCCTCATCATCGGCTGGCTATACACTAATATATAGTTTTACATCAAAAAATTTACCAATCAAATGGTTATTTTAGTTATTTGGTGTTTAGGTATGAGGGGCGGGGTGAAATCAAGAGGTTGTTTTTTTCTTTCACGTTCCCCAGTGGAACATAGGGCTTCAAACTAGTGGCTTGAAGTTTCTGTAGGAGTGTTTATTTTACAGGATGGGGTTGCTAGCCTCATGCCTAACCTTTCCTCTTCACCAGCGTTATTTCTGGCTCAGCGAGGTAAAGGAGTGCGTCAGCCGGGGATCGAACCCCGGACCATGTGCATGGTCGGCGAGCGTCCTAACCGCTATACCACCGATGCACGAGAGGTTAAAGGTCATCAAAATAAAGAACTAATAGTTATTAGTAACAAGATTTCTAAGCTAGTTAGATAGGGCGTACGATCAGGCAAGTTCATCGTCGAATTTCTGAATACCTCCCGTCTTGGTTTGGCAAAGGTCCGAATAAAGCTATAGGCAGCTCAATACTAGGTCATCTCATCGACATGAACACGGACATCAAGTTGACTCTAACAAAGCTTTTAAAGTTATTTATCCCATATCACCCAACCTCTCGCCACGTGGTCTACGAGTACGACTTTTACATACAGCATCGGAAATCGGAATACATCTGAACAAGCCAAATCTGTGCGTGCGTTCAAAGGAAATTTCTACAGTCCCTTTGTTTGCCTAGGCCAACTATATAATATGTATTAAGTTTTTTAAAACGAATTTTCCCCTCCCCGTGTAACTATCCTTTGACTTTGTTCATTTTTACAATTTTACAATTGTAGCTAATTCTATTAACTTGTTTGTATTTTACGTAACTCTGCTGAGTCATCCTATTCTTCTTAGTTATCATTGCTATTTCGCAGATTTCTTGATTATATAAATACTTGTTGCCAACGCCTAAGAATCAGCTTATCTTGAATTGCTTAATTGATTAATTTTCACTCCTCCTTCAAAAATTAGATATCTTGTTACTAACTGACATCTACTAGTTAATTGTTTTCATGGCCTTTAACCTCTTGGTTTCACCCCTCTATACCTAAAACTGATTAACTAAAATAACCATTTGATTGGTAAAACATTTTGATGTAAAAAACTATATATTAGTGTATAGCCAGCCGATGATGAGGAACTAACTGACGAGGAATATATTTCTTTGCTCGAATTGTTGTTTGTTTCTAAATTTTCTAAATCTAATTTCATAAAAATATCAGTTGTAATAATAAAATACAGATACTCCCTGTAATAAATTGAATGTTACGCTTGATACTTCTGAGAAATCAGAGTGGAGTCACAATATGCCACGAGTGATTGGTTGGTCAAAAGGGAGTAGCCAACGTCATGTGTCTCGACCCTACATCTCACTGAATTCTATGTCATCATTAAGCTGGCAGACCTATCATCCTGGTGTACTTTCAACTGATTTTGCATGGTTGAAGGCAAGCTTTATTACAAAGAGGTTGATAATCCTGAAATTTACCTCCTGAACTTGCTAATGATTGTTCTAAAATTAATGCATAAATTTTGCAAGAATTACCTTATATCTTCAGTTGACATTCAGAATATGATCCATTGTTTTGAAAAGAGAATTTCAAAACTTAATCTAATCATAAGACATCAAGTTAAGATAAATCTGTATGTGGTATAAAATTTTAACGTTAACCTGTATAAGGTCTCATGGTAATATAATCCTACTTCAATGAAATATAAATCATACAATAAACCCTTTTTTAACAAAATGTTTTAAATTATTTTTGTGTGTTGCTTACCATTGTCACCCGGATATCTTGATACATGGTTACATTCTCTCCAACTGGACCTTTGACCATTGCCCTAGAACGTTGCATGTACTCGTCAACATCTTGTGGTGGCTGAAATGAGGTATTAAGTAGTATCAAATGTGTTTAAATTATGTTAGTAGTGAATAATTTAAAAGTGAGCCCATATGTAAAATTTCTGTATGAAACATTTATCATAATAGATTATACAGTACGATACATAACCCTAACTGATATATTAACCAGTCACAATGAGATGATCTAAACACCTGGAAACCGCTTTCTTTCTTTGCAATACAGTTTATCAATAATGTAAATGAAATGATTTAACGAGAAGGGCTGAACCGGTTGGGAGCATTAGAATTCCGGTTAGCTACTCAGCCGAGCTGGTAATACATGGGATGAAATTCATCATTCACCATATACGGTGTTTTTCTGAGACTCAAAATATTCAGATAACGACATGTGGCATGCTCGACACCTAATAGGATATCAACAAAGTAGGGGGAATAACAACAAGATACATACATACTGCTAAATGATACCACGAGGTGAAGACTGCTCATGCTATAGTGAATGCTGATAGTTTATTTACTCACTACTGTATAAAGCGAAATAAAAATAAAATTTTACAGTTTTATTATGTAGCTTCGCTGGCACAATAAAAGACTAGTAGCCTATGGTGGGACAGTAGTATTCGTTGAAATTCTTTAGTCTCACTTAATAATCTCACAAAAATAACTGCATTTATTATCTAAGATTATTACTGATTGTGTATCAGGATGAACTTTATATTAGGAAAAAGCAATCTACTTGAATCAGAAGTCCCATTAATCAGTTCTACCTATTATAACTTCTAAAATGATGTAATAAAATGCTAAAAAGGCGTTTAAACTAACCGGTCCAGGAAGGCCTGGCATACCAGGCAGTCCATTTTCTCCATCAAAACCAGGATCACCAGGGGGGCCAGGAGGTCCAGGAGGACCAATAGGCCCTCTAAGTCCTGGTGGCCCGTCAGGCAACGGTGGTGGTAATGGAGGTAGAGTATATGGGGGTTCTGCAGTTGGTCTCGGAGTTCTTTCTGGTCTAGAATCATCTGTGTATGTGCGCGGCGTAGCCGGTGGCATCGCAGGTTCCTAGTTCATAAAAAGAGGAAAAACAGGGAATCAAAACAATCCCATTCTAACAGTTTTGCGTTGTTCATGCTGCAAGCTGATTATCCAATATGAGTTAAGGTAAAGAACATCAATTAGGAGTAACTACTAACCATGATCATTACATTTCTCGCATTGAAATCTACGTGTAGTGTGCATTTGATGAAAAGACTCCTCTTTATCACTGTTCTGATTCATCTTAATGAAGACTATTCATCCCGAAACAAATATACAAAAAAATGATTGGAAAAACTAAGGTAGACTTAAAAGTTTGACTCATCTCATGAAACCCTTCTATTCTAACCAATCAGTATCAGACTGAAATCTTACTCCATATACTTTCAATAGAGCATTCGAGAAGTCTTCATATACCAAGTGTAATTTGTAGTCTGAAACATCAAGCCTAACTGAATATCTAAGTTACATATAACTGATTTATATATGTCCAAACCAACTTCACTTTTAATGGTTTGAAAAAATTTGGGCATTTGGTATATGATATTCATTATAATAAAGGTTTTTGTATTTCCCAATGAATGAAAAACAAAACGATGTTGTTTTTACTGACGTTTAACTATTTAATGCTAATAGCTTTATCAAAGTATTAGTAAACCGGAATTTACAAAATCTCAGCATATATATAACAAACAGTTAGGGGGTGAGAAAATAGACATAGGTAAAGTTAAAGGGATATATTGAAAGTAAAAATAGCGATGAAGATAACTAAACCAAATAAAAAAAGTAATAGTATGTCTGTTATGATATCAAAATAAAGTTTACTAACTTGGACAAGAATGAATTCATCAACAAACAGATGAAGTTAATACTGGAACTTAACGTAAACAATGGAGTCTAATGGACACGACACGATAAAAAGGATGAAATGAGTTAAGAAGCTTAGTGATCTATATACATATATATGGAAAATGACTAGGATACAGTAGAGTTAAGAATATAATCTGGTCCTATCTTAGTAGATATTATTGCAGTGTAACTCGGACAGACGACTGTGAAACATGTAATAGGCGAAGTGGCATAAAACAGGAGGTGCGTTGATGACATATTTATGACGTGCAAAATTATGAAACATACGTTTCATCTTCTTAACTCCTTTAGCATTTCACATATAAACAAAGAATTCACTATGGAGTATAGAGAAAATGAATGGTCTCACTTCCTGGTTACTGGACTTCCACGAACTACAGATTGAGATATATTAAGGCATTTTGGAATGAACTACATCTAAATTTCAATAGTTACCAGAAAAACCCCAGAGTTGTTTGGTTAGAATATTGCTTAAACGTGTGGAGAAACTTTGTTTCAATGAAAGACTTGATCAAGTTGCCTAGTTAGTCACACTTCACAGAACAAGTCACTTAGTGAAACAATCAAGGTTGAGAAGTCCCATTTTCACGTGACCTCCAGCTGCATACACAGATTTACATGTACATCTGAAGTTTTTATATCAAACAAACAGAAAGAAAAATTTGTGGTCGTATTTCAAGGAACTCGTGGCGAATAGATGCGAAAGACTTCTTTACCTCTGTCGATATTTACTTGACCTATAGCGGACATGAAATTGGTGTTTTAAGATCGTTTAGAGAAGTCAAAGCACACTGTTGAATATATGCCTCTGAATCCGCAGTTGTTAAACTGTTAAGATCGAGCTTGTGCATCCGGAAAGCAAATAATGTCAATCCCACCCTAACATCTTGAGAAAAAAATTCGTTCTGTGTTATTTCAGTTTAATCGATTTTTATTTAGTTACATTCCATTTTTATGATTTAAGTTCAGGCCCTTCAATTTTTATCTTTATTTATACTCTTGACTCGGCTAATTTTGACAACTAATCAGCTGAATTACTTGACTGTTACGTAATCGTAATAAACAAGAACTTTTTAATACTGCCAATAACGTCCACCTGGCCATTCATTTTACCTGCAACGAAGAAGAGAACAACAGTTTACGCTTCCTAGATGTCCTCCTCATCAAGAAGACTGACGGATATCTAAAAAGAAACCTATTTAGACAGAAGACTTGGACGGGTCAGTACATCCATTTTTATAGCTTCACACCGCTTCAATACAAAAGGAACTTATTTAGGTCACTTAATTATAGAGAAATTCATTTAAGACGAAATATATAAACTGCAACTTACAGTAAAAGAAAGTGGATGTCAAGATTATTTTTTTAAAAGTACGTGTCAGTGCCTTGAGAAAGGGTAATAATGGATATCACAGGTAAGAAACCTTTGTATCTTAAGTTACAAAGGGTAGATTGCAGCAAACATTCCAGCATGTTGGCTTAATAGAGCGGCAGAGAGAAAATTTCCTGAAGCTAAACCGGTATTCACTTTCTCATCTAACAGCTATTTACAAAGAGAGTCAACGACAAGTTACTGATGATGACCTCATCAGTGCGCTTCTACCAATTCAACTGCTCATGTGTATTTAGTTAAACTGACCGTACTCAGAGGTCATTACCCATGTAAGCACATGAAAGTATACCTGTTTAACTGAGTGAGGGGGTAACCAGATGCGTAAATAGTGCAGTCTTGGCCCACTTGGTAGATACTTGACATTCAATAGAGCCAGAGCGGGCGTTCTCCGTTATCTACTCTGCTGTGGATAATCTATCTACAGGAGCTCGATTATGTCTTCTGTCAGTAGCTGAGGCGACAGGAATCCGTATGAGAAGACCTGGTCTCTGTATACAGAAGAATTATGTACAACAGCTATTTCTACCTTGGCCTACAATGCGGTCAGCCTATCCCCCATAAACACTGGCACTTTAAATTCCCATCCCATTCTTTTCCTTGTTTTTTCCTTTTTATCATTGACAAACGTTTATTTCGAACCTTTTACAGCTTCGTGACCTTTGTTATTATGGCTATTGCGTTAGATTTATGCAGTGCTTGGGGATCTATTATTATATTCGCACAATTCTGCTCATTCCACTTCACTAAATTCGTTATTTACAAGAGCTGTCGTTGTGGGGATTTGATTTGATTCAAGTTTGACCACAGAATGATGTCAACTAGAGAACCACTGCGAACCAACACGAAGTACGAGACAGCCGTTTCATCCTCGTTTCGGACTCATAAGAAGTACACATCCACTGCGTTTTGAAACCTAGGACCTTCCAGTTACAAGGCAAGCTCGAAGACCATTCAACCACTAGGACCATACTCGATGGCCCATGAATTCTAACTTCTACCAATTCGTTATTTTAGCGTGACTGGCACTAGCCAGTGTTATCCGTGATAAGTAAATGTTCTTATTCCTAACCAGATGGACTCCAGTGGTCTTGCCTTATAACCGGAAGGTCCTAAGCTGGGGTGTTGCCAATGGGTCCCAAACTAGGATAAAATAACTGCCAAATATTCTCTGATTTTCAGTGGTCCTCTAACTAACATCAATCCGTGGTCAAACTTGAAACAAATTCATTATCATATGATAATCGTTCGCTAATAGTTCTTTTAAGTTTAAACCACAACATAGTAATTATTTCATCATTTTTGTTGTCATTTGTCACCCTTGATCTCACGTCTTGTCTGTCTCATTTGTTAATTTATTTTTCTGTAGTATTCATATTGTCTGACACACCCTTGAAACCTGTATTCTTGTTGACTTTTCAGATCAGTGGAGACACAATGTAACACGAAATACTACTAGATATAAGACCTCCAAGGTGCTGACAAGAGCATCATGATCATTTCATCTTACGGTGTACACCGTCAACAATATAAGCTCTGTTTATCACGGTACAGAAATGCATTGAATTTGCTCTGTTCTGTAATCCTTACAAAATGAGTGGAACAATATATTATTATATATTATGTACTATTTTTGAATATATATATGTATACCGTATATATACACCGTAAGATGAAATTATCGTAATGCTCTTATCAACACCTTGAAGGTCTTATATCCAATAGTATTTCTGAATAGTAATTACTCACTTTATTGAATTCTGTCTAATAAAGGTCAACATTTATTTATTTTATTTTATTAAAGCTTGATTCTATACAGTATTTATGGTACACGTATGGAATTTTCAGTGTGTGATATCGGTAGCCCAAATTTAGCAGGCCAACCATTGATATCAGGTTTGCGTCGGCCGAGGATCTAACCCCAGACCATCTGCATGATCGGCGAGCTTCCTAACCGCTCTACCACCGACGCACACATCAATGTAGAAAGAAGTAAGGATGAGACAGGGGAAATAATTGTCCTTTGAATGAGGACATCGCTTTGATAACACGGTTAAAAAAGTGATTATGTTATCCAAAACCTGTTTATCGCATCAAATTTCTTTTATAAGACAGTAATAGATAAGAGTGAAACATAATCATACCTATCATAAGCTGTGAGATAAACTCTACACAAATAAGATTACAAAGATTTCAGGCAAATGTTCACTTACCGTACGAGCCTTACCTTAAATTGGAAAAGAAAACAGTAGTGAAGAAAATAATTATTATTTTGATAACAGAAGGTATCGGATTAGCAAAACTGTTTTCAATCAGACATGGTTTGTGAATCCGAGTACTTGCGAGTATAATAGTTATTATAAGTAGTAAACTCGAAACTGCTTTGTTTGTGATCAGTGTCGAACTTCTAAACTCATATGTTGAATTATTTCAAATTTCAGTTCAATTTATTTAGCCTCTAAAGTGAATGGTTGACAGGAACGTTAGTAACACTAATTTACCTCTAGAATTTTATCTTGCTATTATATATAAGCCTTAAGGACTTATATATAACTAATCAAACCACCTAAGTATTACCTATAAGAAGACAAAGGCATAAATCCTCTTGTTTACCACTCTCGGATGATTACAAGACATCACTGTTGTATACACCGCAAGCACTTATGGCTGTATGTTTTGGGCGCCACCGATTAGAATCCTACTGCACCTACTGATATCCGGCAACCCAGATAGTGTGAAAAACCCCGACACACTAAAACCCCAAGGGTGATGCTATCACAAGCCTACATTAGCTGGGAAGCCACTGAAACCCGTTTACTTTGCGATTCCTCGTTATTTTACACCGACATAAATGCATATGGATTAATCTAAGACTGTTAGAATTTTACTGACTGTTTTCACGGAATAAGCATCTTTTATGGTCATCTTCAGCGTCAAATCGTTACTGGAGAATCCTGCTCCATTCGACTGAACACATTTGACTTTTGCTTCAGTAAATGATTGACCGTTCGCATTACTTACATAGTGACCTTGTTATATTTACTTATTAGTACCGTATGTTAAATGTCGTAAATATATGCACAGTGTATCTAACCCTTCCCTAAAACTCACTTGTCCCCTGCAATCCTAAAAGAAATTAAACTGTCTCTACCAACAAAGCTGATCATCGTTGTTATTAGAAGTTTATACTTCTCAGGAACTCGGAAAAAATATAGGAGTCTGCTATTTACTACGTCATGTTGTGGTACATATGCTACTTATATTCAGGTATAAGTAATGTTTGCAGTGGAGGAGTGATAATCCGTATATCAGTGAAAAAGCCGAAGCAGAAGAAGCGCGAAAAGAAGTTTATAACACTAAGTATAATTCAACAAGAAAGGGACGAGGAAAATGCTATTATTATTATCGCTTTTATTATTTGGAAATTACTATAAGAATGTGAGGTGAATGATTTTTCAGTGCTTATTTTATTTTGTCGTAATAAACATTCCTTGTGTCTTTTTCACTTCAATTCTATTTAATGTGCATATGTTTTGGTAAAATAACAGTTAATAGAAACTTACTAAATAGCTTACGCGATTCTACTTTGTTGTATGAATGAAAATCCTTCTCACACACACATTTCAACATATTTCAGTCTATTTAAAAGCTGAATAAGTATTTACATTCAAATGAGTGGATCATAAATGTTTTCCTTTTTCTTTTAAGCCAGTTTAAGTCATCAGAATTCTGGATTATCATAATTAGTATTGACATTACGTAATCCAGATTTTGATTATGGAGGTGTTGGTAGCAAGTAAAAGTCAGTATAAACTCAACTTACTAAAACACACGATATACAACAAGTCATACTGATTTTTTATTACAGTAAGTTTTAGTGAATATTACTCACTACCAAATAAAGGCTTAGATGTATGTTGAATGATCGACTGCAGTCTTAGTGACTCAGCTAGCAGAGTAAACTTATGTCCATGTCGGCGCTCAAATTATTCCAGGAAGTTCGTAACTCCTACGGTCTGGAAACTTATAATCATGGTTACTTAGCTGTAAAGGTAGAGCTAACTGAACAACTTGTCTCAGTCACCAATGTCATTTTAGTGAATTCTTCGGCCACTCAGGTATGAACTGTAATCACATGATATACAGTAACAACGGTAAGTAATTTATTTATTCATAAGACTAACGAACTAATCCCTTAAGCTGTTTAAGCTGTTTAATATGCTCAATTTTGCTTACACTAGTAAACCGAAAAAAAGTGAAATGCGTAACAAAATGAGATGAGCCTGTGTATCTCGCTTTAAGAACTTAAACAGTGGTAGAGCAGCGAATTACCTTCTGCAGTATTACTATCACCCAACATCTTGAATAACAGTATTAATCAGCCTATGACTCAACCCAGAATGATTATGTCCACCCTGAACGTAGGCTCCAGCTGAACAACTGACTACTGTAAAATGGGATAAATTAATTAACAATACCAATTAAACGATGTAACACTTTTAGTACAGCTAAAGAAATGCCAGTTATTTCAATGTAATCATCTGTTCCACTAGGATTCCGGTTACAGTGAAATGTTCTACATCATAACAATTTCTCATTGTTATAGTTTGCTGAGCCGTTTTAATTTACACGAAGTTATTATTAATTTTTGAAATTTAATTCATATTTTATGAATAATCGATAGTGATACCATTTATTGGTAGAGAAATTAAATTAAATTTACCAACACATTCTGGACAACATTGACCAGGTTCTAAAAGTTGTCCTTCATCTTCTCCACATTGTAAAGTTGGACAAGTCTCTGTTTCACAGACAACTTCACGTGTATTTGGATCACATCGACAAATTGCACACGGAAAGTTGGGCAGTCGAACTTCTTCACCGGGGGATAACACTCTCCCATTGTCCATCGTACAGCCTAAAAAGGAAATATAAAAAGTTGTATTACTCTGTCATTTTAGTACAGTACAAGGATTACCACAGTTGAATAACTTCTTTTCATTATCGTTTAATGGATTACATATAGCTAGCAGGTGATATGGCTTTGGTTATTAGTCAGTGATGTCATTTGATTCTATGTACATTCAATCACTCATTTTTATTACTTGGCTGACCGATTTATTTAAAACCGATTGATTGGAATGTAATTTTAGAAATGACGGAGAAGATTTGGAGCTCAAGTCAATGATATTGATGTATTTATCTTCCATGATCTAGATGGTTTAACTATCAAACTCTGACTTTCTGTGTAGACAACATTCCCAGTGCAGTCATGTAATTTTCATTATAAGTAGGCATTATCCTTGGAATTATTGATAACTAGAAAGTGCTGAAATTACTTTTACTTTTAACTTGAAACTATTGAGCTGAAAGTAGCCACGAACCGATTTGTAATAGAGTCTAAAGCAGTCAGATCCCAAAGTGTCCATATTATTACTGAACTGGTGGGTTGATAATTATTAAGAAATAGCGGTTGATTTGAGTTGTTTCAATTGATGAGATATTTTATCAAAATAAATAAAAACTTATTCATTTAAAAGGGATGTATATTCATTGGCTGTATACTGAACTTTTAGATGTTCTTTGACTAAGGTTTTCTAATTATTAAGTTATTTATATTAGTATTCACTGGGTAATGTTTGTGTGTATTCGACAGTTTACTTATTATAGAAAAACATAGTGTGCAGATTGTTGAATCTTCTGCTACTGCATCAGTAAAGGCTTGCTGAACAAAACAATTTTTGTGAGCAGTTATTACTGAGTCACAGTGTTTATTGGTAGACTGTTCAGTATTGATCCAGTTCACTATATTACAATTAATCAAATATTTAATCTTCCACCATCCTTTTATGTAACATTTCATTCAAAAAAATTTCATAAATAAAATTTTATGGATATCTCCCTAACTAGTAAACTGACTTAATATATAAGTTTCCAGACCGTAGATGTTACGAACTTTCTGAAATAATTAGTGCTCCGAGTAAGATTGATTCATTGTAAATTATTTAAATTAATCCCGATTTGTGTAAAAATTTTTGACTATATATTTTCATAATTAGTGAAATCCGAATAATTCTGCTGAAGAAGCTGTAGCTTACACAGCGAAACGTTCAGAAAAATATTGTTTTGATTTTTTCTTCAAGACTCTGGGATTAATTTAAATAATTTATAATGACTTAACATATGTTGAAAACTAGACAGCCATCGATCGCATAAATGAAATTAATATGTTGGATAGCGGGGATTTGTAGTCGGAAGCATACATGATCTATGACCTGCAAGCAACAATTAAAACATGATGGCTGAATCGCTTGTCTAAAGGGAGAAGTATGAACACAGAGTGTAGCATATAAATGATTCATTTGATCCAACCCTACGTCGAAAGCACTTAGCAGGTAGGCTAACAAAAGACAGAAATAAGCCAGTCGACAAACTTGAGTGTAGGTCAGCAGGAAATAATTAAATGAAGGAAATTCGCTCTGCCTAAGACTTTGAAGATGACAGGAAAAAATTAGGTCATTATCACTGTGAATAGCCTTGAGAAAATTGGTCAGTGACCTCCGAGGACTCGTTTAGCATATATCGAAGTCCATAACCAAGCAATCTACGCTTTCTTATATGGATTACTGCCATGTTTTGCTTTCAGCTGACTTATTTTCTTAACTTGCCAATTCAAATCACACCATTTTTATTCTGTCGTTCCTCGTCATTCGGGAGACAGCACTAACTTACCAATGCTTAAAAACATTTGGGCTTTTTGTATCTGCTGTTAGCGAATACACTTCAGCCGAGAAGTAAGAGACGACATACTTATGTATAGATACACCTTCCGAGATAAATATCTTACTTTTTTATTTATCCATACTGAGATCTTACTGTCAATAACAGCGTTAGGGTCAATCTCATCTTCAAAATATACAGTTCAGTTGACGTGAGCTCAAATCTTTGCAGACCCGTTCTGTAGTGTCATTTTACATTTGAGAGGAGGGGGGAGAAACGCATAATGTACTTCAATTACTATTCACTAACCCTTTTTTTAATAGTCTGATAGAATCAGATATATACTATAGTTCAAAATATCATGCATACTTTGTATTTCTCATTCTTCCTATAATGCGCAAGAAATATATTTTTTGAATTATCCTGATTATGAACAGTTGCATTTGCTTTTACGATTGTATTTGTTGCAAACTGAATTGTTGTCTTTAGAAAACATCGACTGGTGAATACTAAATCTTGTCCACATTTTTAAGCTTAAGAGAAGAGTTTAAACAGTTTGTTGAAATGTGATTTCATTTCATTCGATTAAGTATTATTATTATTATTATTATCGTTAGTTTCTTCATTATTTACTGATGTTACCATTCAGATGTGATTTTACAGTCGTTTATTCATAAAAGCAATGGGATAAATTTTGAAAATTCATTTCTATTGTTCACATATAAAATAAGTAATTTCAATCGTTTTCTCTCAATGACCTGCGGCAGAATTGAATTATACACACAGAACCATCATGCAACAATAAACCAGACAGATTGCTTTGTTTAATTCTTTATTCCTAATTATATTTTTATTCAATTATATATCCAAAAATAACTACATTAGCAATTAGAACAATTAAAAAAATCATTATACTCCTGTGACTGATTGATGTATAATTTATCCATCAAATATCTAAGGGATTGGCAGAGTGATGCCTTTTTTATCAATGCTTAAATTGTACTCACACAATGATTAGAACAACTATCTACTGGCGAAGGAATAAATAAAATTCCATTACTTTTCTATAGGAAATAGCTAGTTGTGCACAGATTTGTCTTATTTATTTATGTCGGGTGTGCGTCAGCAGGGGATCGTACCCCGGACCATGTGCATGGTCGGCGAGAGTCCTAACCACTGTGCCACCGACGCACAGTTTACACAGCCAAATCGAGTTTAGTTCCAGGATTTGAATATTCACCTTATACTGTTATGCTATATAAAATCTAATTATACACATATGTGTAGCGCAAAGATCAATGTACACGTTGTCAAATTCATAAAATATATCTGATAAATTCATACGGATAAGTTTCATGAAATAAGCTGAAGCTTATATAAGTTTAAAATGAATAAACTATTTAATATTGAAACTATATATGGTATCCCTTTAATTGTGAAATAATTTCAAGTGTTTGTAGCCTAAGAGATATGTAAGTTTTCAGATGAAAATAAAATGTAGAGTAGATTGTTGGACAATGTTCTAAGAACGTTGAATGTACGATTTAAAGTGAACATGTACCACACCGTAGTGTAGTACATGTACACTTGATTAATGCCTCAATGAATCAGTAGATTGCCTGTTTGTATCAAAGCCAGTTGGTGTGTTGTTATGACACAACATTTGATCAACCTTACCAAATTTGATGTTCTCTAGTTGCCACTTACTTATTAGCTTCCCTTACGTGTAAGTACTGATAACGGAACACAAACTATAAAGACTCAGTTAATTGAGAATACGCTTGAAAGACCAATACATCTAGCTAGAATTTTTTTTAAGATAAGAAGTTGTTGAATTTATCTAGCTGGTATGATTGAGTTAATGACTCTGATCAGGTTCATTAGGACTAGCTCAAATGAAAGCGTGTAGTTTTCCTTGAAACAAAACTTAAAACATCTTAAGCATTTGGAAGTGAGTTAGCAGTTTATTTGATTAATATTTAGTTAATACTATTTTATCTGTTTATTTTTTCCGTAGTTGTTTCTGTTCGGTACCAAAAGGGTGCAAAGCAGACTGAAAATCAGCATTCAAAGGCTCTTTTTATGAGTTTATTAGTAAATTCATTCAGATGGTCATAAGTTTTCTATGGGGATTTAGGCACAAATAGTGACAATTCTTGTCTTCTGTAAGACTTGGGCACTTTGGTATGTATGTAATACTGTATTAATTCGTTTAATAGATACATTTCTTGGCATAAGGGTACTATTTACTGGATGACGTTTCGAAAATAATTAGTTGTTCATAATAACATCACATAAATCGTGTTTGTAACATCATCCATAAGATAGTACAGTCTCGCTGTGGGATAATATCCAATAAAGGAATTAATATGAAACTCCTTCTTTGCTTTTTTAAGAACTCAGTGAAACGTAAAATCCGTATGAATTTCATATTTTTCCTCCCCAAGATGTAGACGTGACCGAAAAAGAATACTGCAATCTATTGTTACCATACCTAGAAAATAATTCATTACAACGTTTATTAATGGATGAAGAAATATCAGAGAATTTCGTGAATACATTAGTGAACATGTCACACTGCTGCTCAGTGAGCATGGCCTCGAGTTAAACTAAAATGACTACATAAGAAAATATTGCGAAGGTGGTGTTTAAATTATTGGATCAAAGTGCTCGTATTACATGCTTTATTACTAAGCTTTCCTTCTACACAGCCTACACATTAGATTTTAAATTCCGCTAACATTGCCACAAATTATGCTTTATTTCTACTTTATTTAGTAAGTCTGTACTAATAAATTTCAAAATACTAGTCTTCGTTAACCTCGCCTATTTCACTAGTTTCCTACTGCATTAAGCTGTTCTAAACATACGGAAAGAGGGAAGATTGAGCGTTGGAGGGCGGCGGGGGTAGTGGTCCTACACTGAGAAATTAACCCAAATCTCTACAGAAACTTCAAAACACTGGAAAAGTACAATGATTATATTCCTCGAGAAAGAATTTCAGGTAATAAAAGAATCAGTAGTTTCATTTTATGCCGATACACATCCTATGAAGTATTCAATGCAGTTAGATAACACTAATAAATTATTACAATAATTCAGAATGCAATAGACTGCATGAAGTATACCGAATAAAATTATTAAATAACTCAAAACACTGATCAAATTCTAATCAATCTACTTAGATTGTGGAGGTTTCACAATTTTATTCAAATAATAACTGTCTACAAAAGGATATAAAATAATTCTCTAAACCTATCTGAGAGAATCCATGGTGAATATGGAAAGACTGTTGGGGGATGGTACAGCGATTCGTCACTCACACCCACTGAATCATTTACTTATCATAGGAAATGTTAAGTTACAATTTACAGCTATTCGATGAAATTAATATTAACTTACTCTGTCCATTGGTTGCATGTAAAATACCACAAATTATGAGAATATTGAATAACATCTTGAGTGGTCTTCTTTAGCACTGGTGACTTTCTCTCTTAATTATTATTAAATTTATTAATAATATTAATAATTAATGAATGTATTTCATTGTAGATCTCAAAATCTTTTAATACATTACTTGATAAGCTGAAGTGATCAAACTTTGAAATTCAATGTTTAAACAACCCTAATATTGCTATAAATTTTACACTTTCATGCAGAATTCTTCTTCACAGAGTTGGGGAGTGAATGTTTGTGTTCCCGTGTGTATGTATGCAAGTCTAAAACAAACAGTGACAGAAAAAGCGAAACACAGAGAGTGAGAGAGAGAGAGAGTGATACAAACAACATAAAAGTTGATTTTCACTCTAAAGTAGTTTCCACTCCCGTTGTTGTACACCCAGCACTGTGTACACATACTGTGATGTTCATGCATCAATCTGCATTACTTATTTGAATGTAACCATTGATTATAATGACTGCATGCATACAATTTCCCAATGTCGAAACCCTAGCGAATCTCTATGTGTGTATATACGTAAATTGGAAACATATACACTATGTGTGTGCAGTTCACCTACGATGTTGGTCAGTGTACATTGTTCATATTGAAGCTTTGAATCAACTATCACCATTGTTGTCCCCCTTTGAAATTCAATTTACAAACACATTTACATACCACTGATGCAAAAGAGGAGCCAATCACTGCATGTAGTCCAAAAAATATGATACTTTAATCTGTACCTGCTTATATATGTCCTATTTATTTGAATAAATGTGTTCCTAGGTATATATACCTATACATCCCTATTGAAGAGTAGCGTCACCTATTTGCACATTTCGTCTATACATCTACTATAGATAACTTTTATTGGGCGTCTTCTAAAAAGTGTACTGTTAACATATACTCCATGCATGTATATGAATACACGCATATGTAAACACATACACACTAGGCATATATACGCATCACGTCACTTCCACCTTCACTAAATTAATCACTTCATTTAGTCATTATTCTAATAGCTAAATTACCGGTACAACTAACTGCTGTATTACAAGTTGATTTAATTATCTTGATTAAATGTATTTCTTAGCTATAAAAATTTCTGAAAACTTCACTTATTTTCTAATAATTACTACTAATGTTAAATGTCAGCTCCATTTATTTAGTATAAATTTTGACAAAAATAATTATCCCATCACTACACACTAGTGACTAACTTCAAAATATAAATTTTCTGAAATTTCAACCAATCAGAACATGTATACATTGTTGACACAGAATAGTGATAGAGTTCTGTCGCCAGTTACACACCTTACAATTCTGTACTGAGTTCAAATAGATGACAGTTTCACATTGTTGAGAAAATTGTTAAATTGCAAATGAAAACAGTTGTCCTTTAACTTTTAGTCGTCTTCTAATTAATTTAAAGAACTCATCAAACGATTTCGAATAGTATTTTGTAGTAATAATAGTAGTACCCGGGTGCATTCACAATATCTTTCGACTTGGAAGTACTCACCTAGATGCAGCTAACTGACTGCGGGTTATGTTTCTTATTAAAACTGTTGTCAAGCAGACAGTATTCCTCAATACCCTACGGAATGATACTCATCCTTTACGAAACTATAGTTTTCGACTGCTGATTGTCGGGAGAATAGAGATCAGTCTTGAGTTAATCATGAGCTGACTGCTTTTGTGCAACAGTATTGTTCCTAGCACATTTTGAGTAATAGCTAGCAATCAAACCCAAAATAACTGTTTTATTCTGTTTTTAGTCCTTCAGGTGTGAGTGCTCGCCTAATCCCAGCCATTGTGGAATGTTCAGTGTGATTGTAACAAAATAACTAGGGACAAAAATTCTAAAAGTTCTTCTGTCTTACGAAAAAGGTAAGCATAAACTGTTGGTACCTTGGATTGTTTTGGTTTTAGATTCATATTCTTATCAATAAACTTCTCGGGATAACCATCCTCACTTAGCAACCGTTTAATATTGTTAAGCTAAGTGAGGATGGTTATCCCGAGAAGTTTATTGATAAGAATATGAATCTAAAACCAAAACAATCCAAGGTACCAACAGTTCCAAAGAAAGCCTTGTTCTTACAGATGCAGTTCCTAGGAGACAACACAAGTGAAATACTAACACACCACCTGAGAAATGCGGTAAAAAGAGCATTCCCTGCTGCTCAATTACGCTGTATCTTCAAAACCACTCCTCTTCTGCGTTTGGGAATAAAAGACAAACTGCCTAATTTCGCCTCTTCCATGTGTATATACCAATTTAACTGCTCCTGTGGAGCAAGTTACATAGGCCGTACAATTAGGCGTGTTTCTCGTCGAATTTCCGAACATCACCCTGCCTGGTTAAGCAAAGGTCAAACAAAATCTATTCGCAGTGCTATTCTGGCGCATCTTGTGGAGACAGAACACAAGATTGACGTTAATCATGCTTTCAGGGTCATTTACCGCATACCTATGAATCTCAATTTCGCTTTAAGAGTTCGACTTCTAAATATTGCTGAGGCTGTGGGGATTCATATTAATAAGCCTAATTTATGCACCCAAAAGAAGTTAGTCCAGTCATTATCATTACCTTGGCCATCCAGGTTTGAATAATCCAGAATTTTTGTGAAATTTCCCTAATTTTAGTTGATATTCTATTCGCTGTTATATCTTTATTATTATTATTATTTAAGCATCTTTAATGAACTGTAATAGCATTGATCATACTTTACAAATCGATATTATTTAAAAAACGCTAATATTGTTATTAACTACTAATTTAAAATATTCTGTGTATAAAAACATATATATAATTGTAGAGCCTGGAAGAGGAATTTATCGAAAAGAATATTCTTTGCTCAATTATTTTTTTTATAACGATATTTGACCACAAAGTAATGAATATATAATAATTTGAAGATTGACATATTTAAAACTGATTCAGGAACAAAAAAATATTCTTTTAGGTAAATTCCTCTGCAGATTTTACAGTTTCACATCAACAGCTACTGATCGAATGCTGATATAAGACTGTGTAACTCAAGGTGGAAGTTAACCTAAAGGATTTTGTGTGCTCAATAATTTGTGTTGTAATAAAACTTTCATGCAATGATGTCTTCTAATATGATTGAAAATAACTGAACAACGACCTTTCTTCCAAAATATTCCATAGATAACGGCTAAAAGATTCTTTACAACCTTGTTCAGAAAATCTTCAAGGCGCATCAGTGCTGTCAACTATTCCGCGAATGTAATTTTAGGTATCTAGCATTCTGCGGTGATATTTTGTGGACCAGTGTGGAAGTGAAATCATTGGTTGAATGTGATTTTGTGAATAAATCTTTAGACAACAAAAGACCAGATAGAAACTTAAAACTAAGAGGTCACGAGGAAAAACAGTGCCAACTTATTTGGAGGAAACCATCCACTACTGAGAAATAAGTTGAAATCAGTCCTATTCTTTGGAAAATGAACGTAGATCTGCAGTGGCTAATATGCACTTTCTGGCTAAAATAACCATATTCATTCTTCAAAAAGACGTCTGTATGTTTCACTATGGGACTTCAAAATATCCAAAAGGTTCAAATGTGATAAAAAAAAAAGTAAAAGCGATATATCAGTGGCGTAGAGTAGGTACCAGACATATCTGTTTTGCATATAATGTAAACCAATAAAACATATCTGATTGGGGGTTGAGCTTCAACACTACATGTGTATACACATGATTTTCTTGAAATTTTAATGTATGTATAAGCTGCTGTACGGAACTGTGTATTAGGTGTGTAGGCACATATGTGTGAAATTACAGTAAGCTGAGAAACTGAAACCACTTTGGTGTTTAAAAAAATTTCCATCTTTTTATATCTTCACAATATGAACCATCAAGTTCTATATTAACGTCCCACAGCTTTGAGTAGTTCGGATTTCTACCCTTTGCCAAGTCATCTTATCAACACGAATCACCCTCTCCAGTTTAACATACTTGTGATTAATTTTCTCCTCTACCATTTAGAATGTAAAGGCTTAAAAAAATTATTACGAAAATTCAAGAATAAAATGCTCCCTGTAATAAAATCCTACAGTCCTACATTACTTACTTCGATGTAAGTCGATTAAATTGACTTTTTAACATTTTCTAAAGGGGTAAAAATAAATTAATTCAGCTGCCCATCACATTTTAATGAGTCAAATACATACACCATAGATTTAGATTTATTCTACCATCTAATCCTTACTACTAAATTATTCAGGGAAGGATCAAAACCCTTTTTGTGCAAAGTGAAAATCATGTATCCAAGTCAATTAGTCTTAACTTTATTTAAGCTTTAGAAATTACGATACCTTAGGTTCATACCCATGAGCATCTAAACGATCATATGGCATGAGTAACCGTCACCAGTTGAGTCAGGCTAAGAGAGCTACATATAAATGTGTATGATTTTTCTGAGGTAGCTGGATAAAAATACCCTCTGTAGATTTCTTAAAAAGTGTACATTGATTAATGAGCTATAATTCACGCTTAATGAGCATGTATTAACGATAACTAACTGCTGAAGAATGTACTTAGAACAAGTTTAATTTTACAGTCCAAGTGTATAATTATTTTATTTCTAGTTGTTTTAATAAATCTGTAATCCAGATTAAAAGCGTTTTATTTTCGAAGTTATATGATACACTGTCTGGTTGCTAGAGAATAGTCAGTTGTGTATTCTTTTGGATTCAAAACACAAACCGTATTCCTTATATCATTTCAGGGAAGTTATCGCTGAACGATATATATATATATAGCTTTACTCAATGTTCACTGATATCAGATGATTAGAAATAGTCAGCAGAACTAGACAAAATGATACTTAATACTCCTCAATGACTACTCAATATATATCGTCCAGTCTTAAAGGAAATCGATCACTATTAATGTCTCCACAATACTTGCGATACAGATAGTGTCCTAAATTGTAATATTAATCACTACAATTAACTGCTGCTTGATTCAGTGTCGTTTGTATGAA